ATAGGATAGATAGATAGATAGATAGATAGATAGATAGATAGATAGATAGATTAGATGATAGATAGATAGATAGATAGATAGATAGATAGATAGATAGATAGATAGATAGATAGGCAGGCAGGCAGGCAGGCAGGCAGGCAGGCAGACAGACAGACAGACAGACAGACAGACAGACAGACAGATGATACAGTAGTAACCAAAATTGGGGAAATCTTTTGGGAAAAGTGTATTTTCTAAAAATAGCTAATAACACCACTTTTTTTTTAGTAGTACCATAAAATTATCTATCAATAGAAAGATAATTTAATCAAGAATGTAATGCAATAACTTTTATGAAGGATTTCTTATTAGAATAGCAGTTACAGTATAAAGAACAAACGTGAAACAAGTAGAAAAAAACCAGATATACAAAAATGATCACCATAGAAAAAATGAGATATGCAAAAATGATCACCATGTCAGTTAATTCTTATTTGGGTAACCTTTAGCATGAATTCCGGCCTTACAAGACCTTCCCATGGAGGGAACCAAGTCTTTGAGTTCTGCAGCTGTTATCATGTGAAACCAAGATTGAACGATGGCTTCTATTAACTGGGTTTTATTGCTGGGTCACCTCTGACTAACTAGTTTCTTTAGTCGGCTCCCTAGATTTTCAATTGGGTGAAGGTCTGGGCTATTCCCAGGCCATTCCAGCAGTGGAAAAGGATTATCTTCAAACTCCAAACAAAAAAAAAAGTGGTGTTATTAGCCATCAAACCTCAAAAATACACTTTTCCCAAAAGGTTTCCACAATTTTGGCCCCTACTGTAGATACTGTAAGTAGATAGATAGAATAGATGTAGTGTCAGCCCTGGAGCCATTTTCCTGCCTCAGCATTTTGATTTTGTTGGGGGTGTTACTTAGAATCCTGACGTTTATATGATGATTGTGATAGATCAGGGGTGAAATGCTCCCGGTTTGGACCAGATCGCCAGATCCGGTAGCGATTGCGGCCAGTGGTTCGGAGAACCGATAGCAAAAATCCCTGCCCCCCCCCATGCCCAGCTGAGCCGCGCAATCATCAGAGGCTTTTTTTTTTAATTTTTAAAAGGAATTTTTCTACAACCACTTCGGCTGAAAAAAATGCTTTTAAAAGTAAAAAGAAAAAAAAAGCCTCTGATGATCACATGCCTCAGCTGGGATCGTCAGAGTCTTTTAAAAGCATTTTTTCTACTACCTCTTTGGCCGAAGAGGTGGTAAAAAAATGTTTTTAAAAGCCTCTGACGATCCCAGCTGAGTTGTCTGATCGGCAGAGGCTTTTATAAGCATTTTTTTCTGCAACCTCTTTGGCCGAAAAAATACTTTTAAAAGTAAAAAAATAAAATAAAATTGGCCACGCCCACCCAGTCACATGACCGCCACCACCAGGCCACACCCACAGAACCCGTAGTAACAAATTTTACATTTCACCACTGTGATAGATAGATAAATGGAGGAGGGAGGGAGAATCACATAAAACAAACAAAGAGGCAAGGAGATCCAGAGCCATCAAGCCTCTTCCTTCCTCCTCAGTACAGCAGGGAAGGTCAACTCAAAAGGACCAAACAGGGCATCCAGAACACCCATGAATTTACACGGCGAGGCCGCAATTGGGTTATTGACGTGGCATCTGTGGAAAACACTATCGAAATGATTCACACTAATGTTATTTAGCTGCAATACTTCCGTAATAAAAGGAATCAATGAGAGAGAGAAAAGACCTGTCCGGGGATTTGATTTTCTCATTTTAATGGCATACTTATTTACTCCCGCCAATCCTCCCATCGGATTTTCATTACACCACCTGGCACTGTAAGTGGACCGGTATTGATAGGACCTGCTGACTTCAGCTGGCTTCCTGAAGGCGCAAATTAAAAATAACTCATATTCGGTGACAAGGTTGCGTGCTAAGTAGCTGCCCCTGGAACGGCCGTAGCGTTCTTCGAGAAGTAGCAAAACTCAGGAGCCTCTTATGCAAATATATTTTCTGAAGCTGATTTACGACAGCAGATCTTTTACTCAGAGCCCGTTTGGTCTAAAGATTAAGGCACCAGGCTAGAAACCAAGCAATGGGGAATTCTAGTGCTGCCTTAGGCATAAAAACTGGCTGGGTGACTTGGAGCCAACCACCAGGAGACCGTGAGTTCTAGTCTCACTTTACGCATGACAGCTGGCTAGGTGACTTTGGTTCAATCACCAGGAGATGGAGAGTTCTAGTGCTGCCTTAGGCATGAGAGCTGGCTGGGTGACTTGGAGCCAACCACCAGGAGACCGTGAATTCTAGTCTCACTTTATGCATGACAGCTGGCTAGGTGACTTTGGTTCAATCACCAGGAGATGAAGAGTTCTAGTGCTGCCTTAGGCATGAGAGCTGGCTGGGTGACTTGGAGCCAATCACCAGGAGACTGTGAATTCTAGTTCCGCCTTAGGCATGAAAGCCGGCTGGATGACCTTGGGCCAATCACCAGGAGATAGTGAGTTCTAGTCAGTGGTGAAATCCAAAAATTTTCCCTACCGGTTCTGTGGGCGTGGCTTGATGGGTGTGGCTTGCTCATGTGACCAGGTAGGCGTGGCCAACTTCACATCACTCACCGTTAGAGCCAGGAGCTGCACATTCTGAAGCACATTCTGCCCCTCTGAAGCCCCAACGCTTGGACTTTCCCTCTGGCTTGACTGCCCAAGCAAACCTCGGAGCCTTCTCTTGCCCCGCTCTCCATCCCGGAGGGCCGCGCATCCCCCCCGCCAATCCTTTGTACAAACCGCCCGCCCTGTTTCTGCAAAGGCAGAGCCCCCCCTGCAGGGCGATCCAAAGAGGAGAGGGGGATGCTGCAGAAAAAGCTGCCTTCCACCCAGGCCCACGTGCCTCAGAATGGCAGGCTCTGCGGGACAACAGGGCCTCTCATTTTTCCCACGGCACAGCGTATACTTGCTGCCTCTGCTTGTCTGCTTGCAAGCGGCGATCGTCTCTGCTTCTCTCGGGACGCTGGTGCGGGCACCATGGATGCATTTCTTGTCGGGGCTGAGCAGGGAAGCCGCTGTCATGCCACTTCCCCTCGCTTTCCCGAGCGCAGAGCAGAGGCCGTGCACTTCCTCGCCGGGCTGGCCACCGGCAAAGAGCCATGCAGCTGGCAGCCGCTCAATGCCCCATGCGCAGCATCGCCCAGCTGCCGGTGGGGACGGAGCAGCCAGCCCAGCTGGCTGGTTGGAGCAGCGCTGCAGCTGAGGCCCCTGCACCAACATTCACCGGCGAGCACAACTTTAGTTGCGCCATTCAAGCCGCCATTGCAGGGCCAGCCGCCTGGGGCAAAACCTCGCGGTTTTTCTCCCCCTCAGCATCATCCTCCCCGCTGAAGCAGCGGCGGGGCAGGAATGATTCCCACGGACCCCGCCGCTGCTTGAGCAGGAACTTCAGTGACAGCAGCGGTGTTTTTGGGGTGTCTGACAAAATGGCTGATTGAATGGCTGGATTTTTATAAGGTTCTGGGGTTTGGTGATTGAGATGCTCCAGGGGGCTTGTGCAATGTAGCGAGCCTTGGGTCTTTCCCTATTCTAATGGTGGTAGGTAAATCCTCTTATGTCCTAAAATTCTTACAATTTGGGTGGGGGCGATGTAAAATTCTTAATCCCATCAGCTGCAACCTTCTTTGCATTTTGTTTACGAATAGCCCAGTCCTCCTGAATGGATACAACATCTGCATTCCTCTTCAAGTTTCTTACTTTGAAGCTGTTTTCCTATGGCAGGAAGACTGGGGCTGCTTTCTGCCTTTGTCAAAAAATTTTTCCATTTCTCCTCTTGGGAAACATTCTATCCTGCCTCTTTTTAATATTAAGAATAACGGATATTTTAATCGGGGAGCGGGAGGGGGGGCTTCCTACAGTCTGGAAGGATGGGGACCCCCAAGTGGCACCATTGAGACAGGTGCAGTGGGGGGGCGGGGTGCCTTGGTTGGGTTGCTAAACCAGGATCCTCCAGAATGAACTAACCAACTTTCGGACTTGGTGCAGGTGCGGAAGAGATGTGGGGGAGCATAGAGAGACAAAGCCAAGTTTTCTGGACAATAGAGGTGTGTGTTCTTGGATGACCTCCCCCTCTTCTGCTGAGGGTCCATATTCTGCCATTGAAGCTCCAGTGCTCCAGGTGGTCCTGGAGGAGGAGGCTGAGGCCTCCAGGGTGGGTTTTTTCCAGCTTGTATTGTCCTTGTGAGTCGCCCAGAGTTGTGTTCTCACGATCAAATCTTGCCAAGCCATGGGCAGGTTGGATCTTTACTTTTTTACTTTTACTTTTATTTGATTTATATACGATTTATTTGATTTATATACGGATCTGCGGCTTTCATTCCGTCCCCAGGCAATCAGTTAATCAGAAGAGGAGTTGGAAGGGACCCTGGAGGTCATCTAATCTAACCCCCCCTGCTCAAACAGTTATATACAATTTGAGACAAACGGTTTGTCCAATCTCGTCTTTAAAAAAAAAAAAAACTTCCATTGACGAAGCAGTGATGAGGGCTTGGGCTTTCCTGAGCAGCAGGCTCGCTTTCCAGCACTGCCTTTTTAGTGCAGCCCCTGGAGGTCAAACCGGTCAAGATGGCGGCCGCGACCCTCGATAGCCCGCCAAAATCCCGCAGCAAAAAGGAGATGTGATCCACGGCCGTTCCAATTCCAGGCAAACAAGCCTCCCTCGCGGACGGGGAAACGACCCCCTCTGGCTGGGGATAATGGGACGCGACTCCTGGCTTCTGACGCTTCGGGCCTAGAAACCGACCGAGACGCTTCCGCGCGTCTCCATGGCGACGCTGAGTCGCTTCCGGTTTTCTGTGCGGAAACATCCGGCCTGTGGCCCTCCATCCATCCATCCGAAGGAGTGGTCATAGAGTTTTGAAAGGCTAGAGAGCCACACATCTCTCACGGCGTCACTATTTTCTCCCTCTTTTGCCTTGATCCTGGGTGAACCATAGAGGCGCGCCGTCGGAGGCTTAGAGCGGCGCCCCGGCTCGGAAGATTCTGATTGGCTCCCCGGCGCCGGTTGACGGGTGGGGCCAAGATGGCGGTGTCTGAGGTACAGCAGCTGCAAAGCCGCCTCGACGCCTTGGAAGAGCGGATGTTCGGGGCCCCCGCCGGAGCCGCGTCCGCGGGGGCCCCCCGGAAAGTAAGTCCCCCGGGTTAGGGGAGGCCGTCTCCTCCATAGGGGGTGGGTGGGGAGGGGGGTCAGGTATCCCAAAGCCCATCATCCCCTGCCAGCCGTTGGCTGGGCTCTGGAGTACCTCGTGAGGTGCGGGGCAGCCAAGGAAAGCGAGGGGCGCTGCCTTTTATTTTATTTTTGGTGGTTGTTTTTTTTTTTTAGACTGACACGTTTCCTGCCTGTGTTCCCACGACGACACGTGTAACACTGGGAACGTGAGAAAGGGGTTCACTGCCCATTATTTTCCCCCCCGCCCCCCAATATCTAGGCCTGGCGTGGGAACAGCTGCTCTGTCAGGTGAACGAGGAATTTCCTTTTTTTTTCTCCCCCCCCTCCAAAAATCACAACGTTTGCCTCTGAATATTGCCAAAAGGACAACAGTTCCCATCGTGCACAACTGCAGAGAATTAGGGTCCAAAGTCTTTTTTTTTCCCCAGCTTGTTTCTGGCTATTTTCTTTTTTCTTTTTTTCTTTTTTTGAGCTTTTCAGGAAAAAAAAAACTTGAATTTGACTGAAATCCTCCCCTTTGGAATGACATATTTATCTTCCTTTCCTTGGTTGGAATAAATGTGCCCAATAGGTGTGCTTATGTAGATGTGTGTAATAATTATATTAAAGATTATAATTACAACAGTAAAAAACAAATGCAACCCGGGGGAGAAAAGAAGGATGAAAAAAGTAGACGGTGCGGAAAAGAAAGCAAAAGAGAGTGCGGAGAAATTCAAAAGACAAATAAAGCTCAACAATACAGGTAGTCCTCGACTTACGACTACAATACACACACACACACAAATACCTTTTGTTAAGTGAGACATTTGTTAAGTGAGTTTTGCCCAATTTTACGACCTTTCTTGCTACACCTGTTAAGTAAATCACTGCGGTTCTTAAATGAGTAATCCGGGTTGTTCAGTGAATCCGGCTTCCCCTTTGACTTTGCTTATCAGAAGGTCACAAAAGAGGATCACATGACACTGTGATCGTCATAAACCTGAGCCAATTGCCATGCATCTGAATTTTGTTCACGTGATCATGGGGATGCTGCAACAGTCATAAGTATGAAAAATGGTCATACGTCACTTTTTTCAGCGCCGTTCTAACTTTGAACTGTCACTAAATGAACTGTTGTAAGTCAAGGACTATCTGTATCCCTTTTAATTATTAAGACGCCAGCCGATTTCTTTTGTATGTCTGAGGTAACAACTTTTGCCATGTCATTCTTGTAGACTCTCATTTTTAAATCTACTTTCAGTTCATTCTTAATCTGAATTTGTTCCTCTTTCATGGCATCTTTTAGATACAGTCTGTCTATAGAGACAGGTACTATTAAAATTAACTTCTTGGTCTGTTGTTCAAAAATATCCTTCGATGTGTCCATTGTTAAAATATTTTGGTTCTGTTGGGGCCTGTCAGCCGCCGGCCTCTCCAGTAGCCAAATCAGGAGGAGGAGGAGGCGTGGGAGTCAGGGCCAGCATCAGGGCAACCTGAGAGCTCCAAGGGGGAAGAGGGAATGGAGCTGTCAGAAGAGAGAGAGACAGAGGTGGAGTCTGGGCCATCCGTCAGCCCTCAGATGGAGAGTCAACAGTCCCCAGGTCTGGAGGTGGCTGAGGAGGAAGAAGAGGAGCAGCTAGGTCCAGAGCCTGATGAGTGAATGCGCAGAAGGCAGAGGAGAGGAGAGCAGTGGAAATCTATGGGCTGGTCCTTGGGACGGAAGAGCCACCGCTGCTAGCAAAGCCCCACCCTAGCTCTGGGGATAAAAGGCAGGAGGCAGAGATGAATATATGTGGCAGACAACTATTCATCTCTCTGCCAGCCGGACTTGTTAGCCTGCGGTGAGAGAGAAACTTTTTGCTGGGGCTGCTGGCGTTCCTAATAAAGGAATCATTGCTTCAACTACAGAGGGTTTGTCATATTTGGGGAGCTGGATCAGAACAGCATCATTCTGTAATTTTAAATTGAGTTCTTCTCCTTTAGTTGTAATCTTTAGTTCCCTCTAGTGTTCAATGTTTGGCAAAGTACTTTTCCATTTATCACTTGCGGTTCAAAGTTTAAAGCAGTTGGCAGCTTTTGGGTGGACAAATGCTGGCTGGGGAATTCTGGGAGTTGAAGTCCACTCATCTTAAAGCTGCCAACTTTGAAAAACACTGCTTCAAAGCAAGCTGTATGCAGCATTTTTTCTTTCTTTGCAGATGTGAATAATGGTCTTTTTTCCCTCTAGATAACAGATGGCTTGGGCAAAGTTCAAGGCGCCTTGGGAAACATTGCAAGCAAAAGAGAGAGAGTTAAAATTCTGTTCAAAAAAAGTAAGTGATTTTCTTTTTTTCTAAAACAAAATGCTGGTTTGTCCTATCAGCTGTCGTAAAAGAGGTCTTATAACTGCTGAATGTGGATGAAGCCTGATTTAAACTGAGGATGTTATCAGATTGTTTCTTGAATGTAATGTACCCTTCATAAATATGAATTTTCATCCCATTGGTCTTTGGAACTTTTTGATGATTTTAGTTTTAATTAAGCGTGTTTGCTGCCCACAGTCTGTTGGTAGTGGAGCTGCCTAGTAATGTTAATAAATAAAGTGAATGTTGTAGGATCCTCTTTTTTTATTATTATACAGAAATGGGAACAAAGAGTGTAGAAATGCATGGTTACAGTTCATTTCCATTACAGAGACAATTTCTCAAATAAATATATATGCCTGCCTTTTACAATTTTGCATCTTCCAACTCTGCAATTCTAAATGTGTCATATGGCATGCTGATGTTATCTTCCTTATTTTGAAAAATTGGAAGAAGGCATTGAGAAAACATTAGCATGCCAACAAGTGGTTCTTAGTATTAAAAACACAATACTTTTGGTTTGAAAACATTTATTTATGTTTCACATTTCTGAACCACCCATCACTCTCAAAGAGCGGCTGGGCAATGTACAAAAAATACGAAACTGTACATGAACAATTAAAATGTTAGAATTAAAATTTGAGTTAAAAATTTTAAAAATTGTAAAAAAAATTAAGAATACTTAACCCTCAATAATAATTTAGCATTAATATTTGGACAGCCCTATTCATCTAGAACAGGGCTCTCCAAACTTGGCAACTTTAAGACCTGTGGACTTCAACTCCCAGAATTCCCCAGCCAGCCATGTAAAGTCCACAAGTCTTAAAGTTGCCAAGTTTGGAGAGCCCTGATTTAGCACAATTCCAAGGAAAAAGCAGCCACGAGGCTTGTTGCTGATTCAGTCCTTTTCATCATCCAGCATATGTTTCTATCACTGCTGCATTCTAAAATTCTAATTCTATTTTATGTTGTTCCTTCTCTAAGTTGAAGACATCCTCAAATACCTGGATCCCCAGTACATTGACCGAATGGCCGTGCCAGATGCCATGAAGCTGCAGTTCATATTGGCAGGTAAATCTATGATAGGCCCTTATATTCTGGGGTTTTAGCAGTAGATTTCAATATACTGTATAAAGTGCTTACTTGCACTAAAATGACTTTTTAAATTGAAAGGATCTGAATCCTATATTTGAAGCACAGTTTTAAGTCATAATCTTGTGCAGATTTACCTGGCAATGATCCTTATGTTATTCAATGGTGCATAGATCTAAGCAGATCAGTTAAAAGTTATCTTAAGGTTTGTTTTTAGATAGCTGGCTTTGATTAGTTGTTAATCTGTAGGGTCCTTGGTGCTCCCTGAATTTGGTGGGGTTTTTTGCAGATGTTTCATGACCTAACTAGGTAACATCATCTGTGCTAAGAGGGAGTGGGTTTGCAGAGTGGAGGAGGAGGAAGAGAAGGATTGTGGGGTCCTTGGTGCTGTCTGAGCTTAGTGGTGATGTTTTATTACCCAACTAGGGAACATGATCAGTGCTTGTTAATCTGCTGCCTCAGGGCACAGGTCACGTGATCTGTTGCTACTGGAACAGCAATATATTTATTTTATTTATTTATTTTATTTTATTTTGATTTATATGCCACCCTTCTCTGAAGACTCAGGGCAGCTTACAATGCATTAAGCAATAGCCTTCATACTTTTGTATATTTATACAAAATCAGCTTATTGCCCCCACAACTGGGTCCTCAATTTACCTACCTTAGAAAGGATGGAAGGCTGAGTCAACCTTGAGCCTGGTGAGATTCGAACTGGTGTAATTTTAGACAGCTGGATGTTAATTACGGTGCTTAGTCTGCAGAGCTATCCAGGCTCTTTTCAAAATCAAAATATAGATTTTGCTTGACTTACGTCATGCTTTTCCCACCACCAGAAGAACAGTCCATCATGGCACAGGCAGCACTTCTGGAACAGGTGAAGAGCCTGCAACCCTATTTGGACAGCGCACACATCAAAGGTGAGTGACTCCCTGTGCTATATCCCTGAGGGAATCAAGATCACGAGAAGTGTTCCTACTGCTTTATAAGGCCTTGATAAGGCCACACTTGGAATCCTGCATCCAGTTTTGGTTACCACGACATATGAAAGATGTTGAGATTCTAGAAAGACTGCAGAGAAGAGCAACCAAGATGATGAGGGGAGCGGAGGCTACAACATACGAAGAACGGTTGCAGGAATTAAGTATAGGTATGTCTAGTCTAATGAAAAGAAGGACATGATAGCAGTCTTCCAATATCTGAGGGGCTGCCACCGAGAAGAGTGGGTCGACCTATTCTCCAAAGCACCTGAGGCCAGGTCAAGAAGCAATGGGTGGAAACTAATCATGGAGAGAAGCAACCTGGAACTAAGAAGAAATTTCCTGACAGTAAGAAAAGTTAATCAGTGGAACGGCTTGCCACCAGAAGTTGTGGGTGCTCCATCACTGGAGTTTCCTAAAAAAAAAAAAGAGGTTGGACAACTGTTTGTCTGACATGGTATGGGATCTCCTGCCTGAGCAGGGGTTTTGACCAGAGGACCTCCAAGATCCCTTCCAACTCTGTTATTCTGTTACAGCAAGGCCTGTGGCTATCATACTTTTCCAAAGTATCGGTTGCTCACTTGATTCTGATTCATAAATATAGGTAGTCCTCAATTTACAACTATTTGTTCAGCAATCACTTAGTGGTGGAGAGATGGAGGCTTCCTGGGCACTGATTCTGCTTCCCGGCTTTATAAAACTTTTATCCGTAGTTTGAAGAGAGCAGATCAAAATGGAGGATTTTTAGGAGCCAAACTGTTTCCTGGACAGCCCCCAACGGCCATTTGGGGGAGGTGGGACCCCCGTTTCCATTTTGAACAATCGTAACAACAGCCAATCGTAACAAGGACGTTGTGGCTCAGTGACTAAGACACTGAGCTTGTTGATCGAAAGTTCGGCAGTTCAGTGGTTTGAATCCCTAGTGCCGCATAACAGGGAGAGCTCCCGTGACTTGTCCCAGCTTCTGCCAACCTAGCATTTCGAAAGCACGTAAAAAATGCAAGTAGAAAAATAGGGACCCCCTTTGGTGGGAAGGTAACAGCGTTCCGTGCGCCTTTGGCATTTAGTCATGCCGGCCACATGACCACGGAGACGTCTTCGGACAGCGCTGGCTCTTCGGCTTTGAAACGGAGATGAGCACCATCCCCTAGAGTCGGGAATGACTAGCACATATGTGCGAGGGGAATCTTTATCTTTACCTTTAACAAGAGCCTGGCTTTCTCTTTGTGGTCTCTTACAGCTTCTTCTGATCATGCCACCAAGCTCCAGCGACTTTCACAAATACACCTTCAGCAGCAGGTAAGCGCCCAGCTGGAAAATGCTGAGAATTCACCTCCGGTTTAAGAAGCCTGTGTCCACTCCCACCTGAGGCCCCACCTGTCTCCAGCAGACACATCGCCTTCATTATATGAAAACCTTCCAAATAGAATGTCACCCGTTAGATTGCGCTGGGTTTTGTCCCACCTCTGCAGTAGGGAGTCAAAGGAACAAGCAAGCTTGGCAGTTGCATCTTCAATCACACAACTGCCCTCTTGTCTCAATGGTGCTTTTTTCAAGGGGCAACTGGACTTTCTGGATTTTTTCGTTTCTCATCCAAGAAGCTTCTTCAGCTCTTGGATGAAGAAGAGCTGAAGAAGCTTCTTGGATGAGAAGCGAGACGTCTTCAAAGAAAAACCAGAAAGTCCAGTTGCCTCTTGAAAAAGCGCCTTTGGGACAACCAGGACCTGGCTGATGGAGAATCTCCATAGAAACTGCTCTCTTGCATTTTTTGATAAACACAGAAGCTGTTAGGGTCAGATAGGCTGCATTCATGCGAATTTCCTCATTTGCCCTGGGTGTGTGTGTGTGTGGAATCTCATTGCACTGTACAGTGGACCATAAATTAATAGAAAACCAAACTTAAAACAGACCAAATTTCTTCATGTGGTATATGAATGCAGTCACTAAATCTTGATCTAGTTTGGTTTAAAAAAATCGATAAACAGAATAAATTATAGTAAAGAACTTGTGACTAGATCAAGAAATTCGCAGGACAGGAAGAGGTGGTATTACTTCCTGTGATTCAGAAGTTGCTAGTAGCAAATTTCCCTGGGGAAATTAAAATCTGTCTCAATTGGCAGCTTTTCTCCCAACATCTGAGAGCAGAGAAATTCTACCATTTATCTACATGCTGCCAACAAAGTCCTTTCTTTAAACCAATAGTGCTGAATTTTCCACATTTTGTTTTAATCAGTAATCCCAAATCTTTAACAGTTTGCAAGATTAAGAAACAAATAACCCTGCCTGTGGGGGTGGAATGGAGCATTTGCAGCATTTAGTACTTAAAATACCCAATGGCAGACAAGGAAATAGGGATTGACTGAACTCTTCTCATATTGCAGGATCAGTGTGAAGCTGTGACCGAGAACATCCGGTTACTTCTGGAAAATTACAACAAAATGATATCCTTTTTTCTCACTAGGTTTGGTATGTGTAATACTCTGCTGCTCAGGTGGAACTGCCCCTGTTTCACTAGCTCAGCTTTTCTCTGGGTTATTTGTTTATTTGTGTCAGAAGCATCACGATTTCCTCTGGCTGCCTTAAGCCTTTCATCTACCTTGAAGGTTTCTTCGGCTGTCCATTAAGAGTTTCCTTTGCTTGCTTCTGATTTCACAGAATCATAGAGTCCTAGGAGGTCTTCTAATCCAACCCCTGCCCAAGGCAGGAGACCTCATACCGTCCTGGACACATGGTTGTCCAATTTCTTCTTGAAAACCTCCAGTGATGGAGCACCCACGACTTCTGGAGGCAAGCCGGTCCACTGATTAATTAACAGAATAATAGAGTTGGAAGGAACCTTGGAGATCACTGATTAATTGTTCTCACTATCAGGAAATTCCTCCTTAGTTCTAGGTTGCTTTTCTCCTTGATTAATTTTCACCCATTACTTCTTGTCCTCTCTTCAGGTGCTTTGGAGAATAGCTTGACCCTCCCCTTTTCTGTGGCAGCCCTTCAAGTATTGGAAGATGCTAACAGGCTTTCCCCTAATTCTTTTCTTCATTAGGCTAAACATTTCTCCAGCCAGGTTTTTTCAGCTTTTCTCAGATCCTCTTTTCCTTAAAGATTTCCTGCAGACCCTCCTCCTTTCCAAACAGTTTGTCCAGTGGGATGAGATGCTGACCCAGCTGGAAGCCGCAAAGCAGGTGAAGCCCATACCTGAGTGAAGGCCAGGCTTTGGAATCCTTCTGTTGGGCTCCAGGTGGATCTCCTCCTTCAGATCTCAGATCTCCCATGTTAACAGCTCTTGCCGAGGAACTGGTAGAACTCCTGAGCTTCATCCGGTATCGTGGTGTCCAGGGGTATCCAATCTTGGCAACTTTAGGACTTGTGGACTTCAACTCTGGCTGGGAAATTCTGGGCGTTGAAGTCCACATGTTTTGAAGTTGCCCAGGTTGGAGACCCCTGGTGACATCTATCTGGAAGCTACGTCCTGACCCTTTGGGGCTAAATGATATCATCTTTAGAGTTTAATTTATTTTTAGTCTTCATTCAGCCAATTTGTGAGGAACGCATGATTTGTCAAAATACCTGTTATTGTGGACCATAATAAAATCCTCATGAATCCTCAAGAGACTGGCTGGCATTTGGTTATTTAAGACAGCGTAGGTCCTCATTCCTTCTTTTAAAATCATATTCCACTGATATTGAAGGCACCGGAGAGATAGGAGTTACATTTTTGGAGTGGCTTAAGCCTTCAGAATAAGCCTTAATAAGTTACATTTCCATCTGACAAAACTTTGGTAGCAACATTTTGTTCATATATCAAATTTAGACGCTGCCCATTTCATTCTCATAAAACCCACAGTTTCCTTTCCAGAAGATGGGTCCCTTAGAATTAGTAGGATAGATTTTTATTAAAGAGAAACAGCCACCAAGAATTTGTCTCTTTGGGGGAGTTTTTAATAGAGAATTCTTGATGCTTCCAAGAATTCTCTTTGTAAAGAGATCTTGAAAGAGATGACGGGAGGAGGAGCCTGAGTGGCGTAGGAAGCTAATGCCTCCTAAGGCAGCATTTAACATCCAGCTGCCTGCAATTACTGCAGGTTCGAATCTCGCCAGGCTCAAGGTTGACTCAGCCTTCCATCCTTTCTAAGGTAGGTAAAATGAGGACCCGGATTGTGGGGGCAATAAGCTGACTTTGTATAAATATACAAAAGTATGAAGGCGATTGCTTAACGCATTGTAAGCTGCCCTGAGTCTCCAGAGAAAGGCGGCATATAAATCAAATTTTTTTTTAAAAAGTGATCTGAAATTAGTTGAAGTAACATTGTAAATTTGGATTCATCAGCCACAAAAGATTAATCAATGTTAACAGTTGTTCTAGGCAACTCCTCTACCTCCCTCCCATCTTCTTCCTCTCCTCGTCCTCTTCCTCTTCTCCTCCATCTTTTCCTCTTCCCCCTCCCATCTCCTCCTGCTCCTCTTCCTTCTATCCTCTTCCACCTCCCATCTCCTTCTCCTCTTTTTCTTCCTCTCCTCATCCTTCCTCTCCTCTCCCTCCCATCCTCCTCCCCATCTCCATCTCCTCTTTCTCTTCCTCTCCTTTCTCTTCTTGCTCTTCTCTTCCTCCTCCCTTTCTTCCTCTTCTCTTCCTCCCTCTTTTCCTCCTCCTCCTCTTCCCTTTCCTCCTCCCACTCCCTTCCCCCCCCCCAATATTTATATATATCTTTTTAATTGTATTTTAATGTTTGTAGTTTATGTTTTTATTTGGCTGTTCACCGCCCTGAGTCCTCAGGGAGAAGGGCGGTATACAAATTTAAAAATAAATAATAAATAAATAAATATCGGCAACTGCGTCCAATGCCATTGAACAACTCTTAAAAACACCCTCTTTCAGTTCTTGTCTCTCTGAATTTCCACATATTTTAGGGCAGATTCTTGGAATTTCCAGACCTGCAGATGTGTGTGAATTGAGACTTATTCTATTGGTCATATCCCATCCCTGTTGAGTGACCCTGTTGAGTTCAAATCCTAACTCAGAATTAGCAAGCCGCAACTACTGCTCTGTTCCTACTTGTTCTTCCTGTGAGATATAAAAACCCCAGTTGCATACTCACAATTCAAAAACAAGTCTGGTTCACAAAATCAAAGGTTTATTGGAGATATCATGAAGAAAAATAAAAAGCAGTTGCAAGCGCGGCCTCTTAGGCCCTTCCCAATTGGATTGAGTTCAAAGAGTGCAAGAAGCAGGTTTCAAGCTACACATTTTACTCCTACCCAATGCACGCCACGCCTAAGAAGCCCTCCCAACTCCCCTTTATTCTCCTAAGTCCTTCTCCAAGTTGTCTTATACTTTAAAGGGTCATCTTGACATTTCCTGCCTAACAACAACTATCTTACCATGTTTACTTTTAATTTTCACCTTGAGCAGATGTTCCTTTCTGACTGATACTGGTCTTGCCCAAGGTTCCTGTCTCCAAGGGAGCTTTTAGCAAGTCATAACACCTTGTCTCTACTGATTACAATTTGTAATCAGTAAGAGCAACATAGCATTTAACACTTTTATAAAAGAGTAACTTCTTATTCATTTCCTTCATTCCCAAACCAAACCACCAAGTGGTTTATTACCTTACTTGGATTTACACACAATTCTCTGGTGAAAGCTGACATCCCCAAAACGGTCTGAACCACAGACTACACAACCTCATTTCAGCCTGGCCTAGGACTCTGTTCAAATCAAGAGTTGCGTTCCAACCAAGGGAAGGCACTGTACTTCCCATGTGGCAAAATACAAAACATTGAATTAGTTCATCGGCCTTTGATGCAAAGTTAGCAAACAATGCAACGGTAAAAGGCTTTCTCGAAGTATATTCAAAATAATAGAACTTATTTCTTAAACACATTTCTATCCCGCTGCAATCAAAAAGGAGTGGCACAGTGATTAGAATGCAGTGTTGCAGGCTGACTCTTCCCACTGCCAGCAGTTCGATCTGACTGGCTCAAAGATGACTCAGTTTTCCATCTTTCCGAGATGGGTAAAATGAGGACCAAGATTGTTGGGGGCAAGAAGCTGACTCTGTAAACCACTTAGAGAGCTCTGTAAAGCACTGTGAAGAGGTATATAAGTGCTATTGCTAAAAAGATCCTTGGTAGCTTATATAGAATCTTCCGTGGTAACCTTCCTTTCAAGCAACACAATGACTTAATAAAAGCAAGAATCAGCCAAAAGTGCAAAAGTGAAAACAATACAAATGGAATTTAAAATGATAATCAGGTGGGATGCAATTGGTTTATTCTGAACACAGGCACTTCGGTACTTACAAGAAGCTGTGCGTACTTATGCAAGCGCACTACTGTAACTTTTCTATTGTTATTCTCTTTTTCATCCTAAAAGATTTTAAGTTTCTTTTTCAGTTGAATTGTACAGCTTATATGTTACATTAAAGGTGGAATAATTTTTTGAAGTCATTAATTTTGTCTGATTCTTTTTTTTTTACATCTCCAAAAGCTGGCATTTTAACGGGGTGTGTGCATGTGTAGACTTTTTGTAACTACCGTATATGATACTACAGCACTTTACAAATGCAGAAGGACCCTTGACACTTTTCCACTTTTTGTGTAGGATGTGAAATGAGGCATTTAAGTTGCAAGAAAACAGGTCCTGACTCAATGTGCGAAAAAGTCTTTGCAGAAGTAACAGTCCAACAATGAAACCAGTGAAGCACAGAAGGCTTGGGCTCCCTTGTGTTGAATGGGCCCATCAATAGCTGGACAATGGTCAGATTGGGAGCGTTGAGTTAGATTCCTGCCCTGAGTTGTGGATTGGATGCTGGGCCCAAAGTTGGTAGGTAGAGGTTAGCAATTCTTCTAGGATCTAGAATCTAGGAAGAGTATTTGGACAGTGGAACCACTGGTCCAGATTGGCGTGGTGTCCCTTGATTGGATATGTGAAAAACCCTGGCTCTCTTGGGGATGGTTGAATTGTGGAGATGTTGAAGATCAACCTTCAGACCTTCTTAAAAAGTAGGTGTCCTACATCTGAGCTATATAGTCTTTTTCCCTACTGGACACCGCAATAATCTTTTCAAGAAGATGCTGGATTTCATGCAGATGGGCTCCTTCACTTACAAGGAGCATCCTTTAGAGGAGAAGAAAGGTAGATTTGCGCGAAGGACTTTCCACTCCTTCACTTTTCCAATTTTCAAAAGTAACGGTAACATTATAACACATTTGGAAGGGACCTTGGAGGTCTTCTAGTTCAGCCTCCTGCTGAAGTAGGAGACCCTCTACCATACCAGACAAATGGTCGTCCAGTCTCTTCTTAAAAACCTCCAGTGATGAAGCCCCCACAACTTCTGAAGGCAAGTTCAATCAAGGTTAGCGTTTAATTGTTCTCACTGCCAGGAAATTTCTCGTTAGTTCTAGGTTGCTTCTCTCCTTGCTTAGTTGCCATCCGTTGTTTCTTGCCTTGCCTTCTGATGCTTTGGAGAATAGATTGCCTCTTCTTTGTGGCAGCCCCTCAAATATTGGAAGATTGCTATTATGTCCCCCCTGGTCCTTCTTTTCTCCAGACTAGCCATGCCCAGTTCCTGCAACCGTTCATCGTATGTTTTAGTCTCCAGTCCCCTCATCATCTTGGTTGCTCTTCTCTGCACCCTTTCTAGAGTCTCAATACCTTTTTTTGTATCGTGGCGACCAAAACGGGACATAATATTCCAAGTCTCCCAATGCCCAGCCTTGCTTACTCCTATAAGTCAAATGTTATCAACCTGAAGGCCGTGGAAGTCCATAGGCCAGGAGTGGGCAACTGTGGCCCTTTTACAACCTGTGGACTTCAACTCCCAGAATTCCTGAGACGAAGTCCACAGGTTGTAAAAGGGCCACAGTTGCCCACCCCTGCCATAGGCGCATGCAAACTCCCACAACAGCATATGCATTCTTCTTTTGAAATTCTAGGACGGCCACAATTGTGGTGGAATGTCCTTTCCCATTTGTCTCTGGCTCTTTCGTTAAGATTTGATCCGATGTGATCTGATCACAGTGAGAGGGACCTTGGAGTCCCAGCGGACGATCCCTTAAACATGAGCCAGCCGGGTGCGGCAGCAGCCAAAAAAGCTAATACAATCCTTGGCTGTACAAGCAAGAGGCATACAATCAAAATGACATGAAGTATTAGTACTGCTTTGTAAAGCCTTAGTAAGGCCACACTTGGAATGCTGCATCCAGTTTTGGTCAACACATTACAGAAAAGAGGTTCAGACTTTGAAAAAGCACAGAGCAGAGCAACTAAGATGATTAAAGGCCTGGAGACTAAAATAGTATTGCAGGATCTGGGTTTGGCTAATCCCGAGAAAAGGACTAGGGGGGACATGATAGCGGTCTTCTGATATTTGAGGGGCTGCCACAAAGAAGAGGGTGGTAAGCTTATTTTCCAAAACACCAGAAGGCAGGAGAAGAAGCAACGGATGGAAGCTAATCAAGGAGAGAAGCAACCTGGAATTGAGGAGAAACTTCCTAACAGTGAGGACAATCAGTGGAAGAGTTTGCCTCCAGAAGTTGTGAATGCTCCAACACTGGAGGTTTTTAAGAAGAGATTGGACAACCATTTGTCTGAAATATTATAGGATCTCCTGCTTGAGCAGAGAGCTGGATTAGAAGACCTCCTAGGTCCCTTCCAACTCTATTCTGATTCTTTCCCAGCTGAAGTGGGAGGGATGAAGGTCTGGTCCTTTTCCAGTGGGAGGGATCCTAGTGGATATTTTTGAGCCATTACCTCATTCTGAGGCTCCCTTCGCTGGAAAGGCAAGGAGAAAATACTGCTTTCACTTCTGCTTTTGAACTCTGCCTGGAGCTCAACAAACAAAGCCCTGAAGATACCAGGATCGGTTGCTCCGACGGATCTGTTCCTCCATCACCACCACCCTTACACGGTACGTGTGCCTCGGTTGCCCTTTCTCAGGAAACGGAGAATTTCTTATCTTAGAAACTGCAGGAGGAGAACGGATGTTGGTAATGTGGTCTGGAAGCATGAACTAATAAGGGCTTTGGTGCTTTAGTTATGGAGCGGAAACCAGCAGATTCAACTCTGAAGCATCGTCACTAAGAAAGTTCTGGAACGGCTCTCTGTGTTGCTGACTCTTAGACCGGAGACCTTCCCCAATGCTTGTGCTGTGGGACAGCAGCTCCCATTCGGGAGGGGCACCAAAATGTCTGGAAAGACATTAAGGATTAAGAAGGGGAAATCACAAGACACCACTGTACATCGTTCAAAATGAAAGATTGGTTCCCTTTGGCCTTAAAGTTGTGTTTTCTAATTTTTGGGGGGGGAGGAGGAGGAGAACTGTAGGGTCCTGGGTGCTCTCTGGGCTCGGTAGTTTTCTTGCAAGTGTTTCATTACCTAACTAGGTAACATCATCAGTGCTAGAAGGGAGTGGGGTTTATGGGGAGGAGGAGGAGGACTTGGGGTCCTTGGTGCTCTCTGAGCTCGGTTTTTTTCTTGAAGGCATTTCATTACCCAACTAGGGAACATCATCAATGCTGAAAGGGAGTGGGGTTTTCTCACTTATATACAAATGGTTTGCCCTGTCAATGTTGGTGGGGGAGTGTCCTTGGTGATCCCTTGGTTAGTCTGTTTGTGTGATTGGCAGTTCCCTGATTGGGGTGTTATTTGCTTGTTGGTCTAAAGTTGATCTTGCTGTTAATCTCTGCTCATTGATCGCTCGTGAGGATATGTTTTCTTGTGTTTTTGTTCCCTTTTTGGCTTGCTGATTGTCTCTTCGGAATGGCATGTAGATGTTGTTTATCTCTATGTGCCTGCTGATGGCTGATTTGTCTTGAATGCCAGGCTTCCAGGAATTCTTGGACCAAGACTTGGCTGGATCTAGGATGGTTAAAGTTTCCCAGTTGAAACTATAGTTAAATCTGTCAATGTGTTTACAATACACAACTACTTCCCAAACGAGCAATTTAAAACCCTTCTTCTGTGTCTGTAGAATATGCTGGTCCATAAACTGAAACACATTGGATTCCCATAACCATACTCACCTCAGTGCCAGCTGAGGTTAAAACCTAGCCAAACCCAGCCTGGTTGTATGAATTCAACCCCAAGGATTACAAACATTCATTTCCCAGAGCTATGCTGTCAGGCTTATTCTTCGCGTTGTGTTCCTCTGTCGCTTCGTGTGGTCTCAGTTGATAATTAGCCGCTTGGTGGTTAATCAGTGATCAATAGGAGAATGATTTACAAGTAGCTTTCTCCTGCTCTCTCTCTCTCCAAGGAGCTTGTAACCTCTTCCCGCGCCTGGTTTCCTGAGCAGGAATGGAGGAACTTCATGAATCTCTAGAGGACACTTTGTTATTCGCACTTGATGACCTCCCCGGGGAAGATTTCAAGAGGTTCAAGTATAAACTCCACTTTTCTTACCTGGAGGAGAAGAAACTCATCCCCTGGGCCAAGTTAAAGGATGCCCACACAGTGGACGTGTTGCAGCTTCTCTTGGAGGCCTACGGAGAGCAGGGTGCACAAGACACAACCATCAAAGTCCTCCGTGCCATCAACATGCGAGATTCCGCCTCCCGTCTCCAAAAATGGAAGTATGATGGTAAGCTGGCTTCTTTTGTTTGGAACATGTCATCCTTCTGTTTTTGGATTGTTTTCTGGCCAGGAAGAAATCCAACAGGGCTTCACCTTTTGCCAGTAAGGACACATTACTTGTTGATTTGTCTGACTGTTGCACCAGAAGTGTTTTGTGAATGTTTTCTTACAAGGGCACTTTACATAGAAATAGTCCTGAACTCACAACTACAACTGAGGCTAGAATTTGTGTTGAATTGCAAACTGGTTGCTAAGGGAATTGCAAACTGGTTGCTAAGCCTGATTTTACAACCTTTTTTTGTTACAGTTGTTAAGTGAATTCTTGCAGTTGTTAAATGATAGTTGTTATGTTTCCACCATTGATTTTGCTTGTCGGAAGCCAGTTGAGAAGGTCAGAATCATTTGACCCCAGGATGTTGCAACCATTGTAAATGCAGGCTGATCATGAGAGTGTGAGGATGCCAACAGTGGTTGGAAGGGACCTTGGAGGTCTTCTAATCCACCCTTCTGCTCAAGCAGGAGACCTGGCCTATACCATTTTAGACAAGTGGCTGTCCAGTCTCTTGTTAAAAACCTCCAATGATGAAGCACCCACAACTTCTGAAGGCAACTTCTGTTCTATTGGTTGATTGTTTTCACTGTCAGAACATTTCTCCTTATTTCTAGGTTGTGTCTCTCCTTGGTTAGTTTCTATTTCTTGCTTCTTGTCCTGCCTTCAGGTGCTTTGGATTACAGGTTGACCTCCTCTTCTTTGTAGCAGCCTCTCAAATACTGGAATATTACTGTCATATCTCCTCTAGTCCAACCCCCTGCTCAAGTAGGAGACCCTACTTGATGATATTGGTTGTCCAATCTCTTAAAAACTTCCAGTGATGGAGCACCCACAACTTCTGGTGGCAAGCTATTCCACTGATTAATTGTTCTCACCATTAGGAAGTTTCTCCTTAATTCCAGGTTGCTTCTCTCCTTGGTTAGTTTCCATCTATTACTTCTTGTCCTGCCTTCAGGTGCTTTGGAGAATAGCTTGACCCCCTCGCTTCTTTGTGGCAGCCCCTGAGATATTGGAAGATGCTATCATGTCACCTCGTAGTCCAGTGGTGGGATTCAAGTAATTTAACAACCGGTTCTCTGCCCTAATGATTTCTTCCAACAACCAGTTTGCCAAACTGCTCAGAAAGTTAATAACCGGTTCTCCCGAAGTGGTACGAACCGGCTTAATCCCACCACTGCCCTAGTCCTTCTTTTCATTAAACTAGACATACCCAGTTCTTGCAACCATTCTTCGTATGTTCTTCACATTTTTGCTAAGATTTCCTGCATCTCTACAGTAGATGTTTGTGGGGATCAAGCCATTCAAGAATCCATTCCTTCCTCTTTTTCAGGCCCTCAGAAGAAACCTCGTGGACACCTGTCTTGATTGTGCCTGTGACAAATGCACCCTACATTTGTTTCGAAGCAAATGTGCAGATTTGCCACCTGGCCCAGCCTCAAGGGCGTCTCAACATCTTAGACATTGGATGATTTTTTTTTTCACAACGTCCCATCAATTTTCTCCTCTCCATTCAAAGCCACAGAGGTGGCCACTTTGCAACTTCTGGGAGAATTCTGGGAGTTGAAGTCCACAAGTCTTAAAATGGAGAAGGTTGGGCATCCCTGCTTTAGCACTTCGCTACAAGTTGTCTGGATGCAAATGGCCCCGGATCTTCCTTCCTTCTGAGTTTCCCACAAAGAACACTGAATGAACTCTTTTTGCAACAGCACAACCTCCCATCAATTTTCTCCTCCATGTTCAAAGACATCCACAGCATCCATGTCATGGCACATATAAGTGATGCTTGAACAGAGTCCACAGGATTGTCTGAGACACTACGCATCCCCTCCATGGCCTGTTTTTCTTGTTACCTTCTGGGAAGGGGCTTCACAGTATCCAAAACAGAACATCCAGATTCAGTTTGGTTCTATGGAGCCTCAGTCTTGTGAACTCTCAAGTTTCCTCTTTCCACTATGTATTCAAAATGGACAGTGAGATAGATAGACAGACAGACAGACAGACAGACAGACAGACAGACAGATAGATAGATAGATACATACATACAGTGGTGGGATTCAAACCGGTTTGCACCATTTCGGCCAAACCGGTTAGATAGATAGATGATAGATGGATAGAGTTGGAGATGGAGATATGTGTATGGTGTAGGTATATACAGGTTGTCCACAACATACGACCACGACTGAGCCCAAAATTTAAGTTGTTAAGTGAGAAATTGGTTAAGAGGCTTCCTTGCTGACTTTGCCGGACGGAAGATTGCAATATGACCCCAGGACACTGTGACCATCGTAAATGTGAATCAGTTGTCAAGCATCCAAATGTAAATCATGTGACCCTCAGGGATGTTACAAAGGTCGTAAGTGTGAAAAACGGTCCTAAGTCACTTTCTTTAGTGGTGGTGGAACTTCGAATGGCCTCTAAATGTTGTAAGTCGAGGACTACCTGTATATGTATGTTTATAGCTTGTGTATATGTGTGTTACATATGTATTTTTGGTAGATATATTCCTAAACTCTCTCTGAAGCAGGAAGGTCTGGATAGTAGAAGCCAATTCAATCCCTAGCAAGATGGAATTGTTATTTGTGTGGAAACATTCTGGTTTGAGATGGTTCCAGAACTTGGTCTGGATAGAACTGCTGTCCTCATAAAAGAAAAACGTCTGAACATCCGGCTCCAGATGGAACTGCAGGAAAAGTTATGGCCAGGAGAACTTTGTCCTCTGTAGTTGTCGTGATGTTTATACGCTTATCTGGACCAGAATGCCTTGGCAGCCATATGTTACACCCTTATCACCTCTCAGTTAGATTACTGCTCTTGCTGGGACCGGCTGTAAAAAATGATTCAAACAGCTACTGTTAGTAGCAGCCCACCCTGTTCCTGGGTGAAAGACGGTGGGCAGGAATTCTGGTTGGTGCTTTGACTGCCAAGGAGCTTCTGAGCCCATCCCAAAATAACAGGTGGGGAGCTTAGAATAACTTTATTGTCACTTCGAGTGTACACTAATCGGCATACATTAAAATGAGATTTTGCTGCATAACCAATTTTGTTGTATACATGATATACATTTACAATAAAGGCTTGGCATAAGACCCGGGTACCTTCGAGACCGACTTCCGCCACCAATAGCCTCCCACCAGCCAGTCCGCTCCCACAGAGAGGGTCTCCTCAGGGTGCCATCGGCCAAGTTATGTCGGCTGGCGACACCCAGGGGGAGGGCCTTCTCTGTGGGAGCCCCTGCCCTGTGGAATGAACTGCCCCCGGAAATGCTTAAGATCTCCGACCTCCGGGTATTTCGCTGCGCCCTCAAAACCTTGTTGTTCCGCCAGGCCAGGCTATCAATGTAAAGATTTTAATTGGGGTATTTAAATTTTCTGGGGTTTTAAATTTGAACCAAATTTATTTAATTATTTTAAATTTTAATTGCTGTTTTGTCTTGTGTTTTTAAATAGGCTGTACACCGCCCTGAGTCCTTCGGGAGAAGGGTGGTATAGAAATAAAATTATTATTATTATTATTATTATTATTATTATTATTATTATTATTATACCACTACAGCTCTCAAAGGGTCATCACCTCCAATATACACTACATAAACATGACAGAATAAATAAATAAATAAATAAATAAATAAATAAATAAATAAATAAATAAATAAATAAATAAACACATACATACATACATACATACATACATAATTATGTATATACCAGTGATGGGTTTCAAAAAATTTTACTACCGGTGCTGTGGGTCTGGCTTGGTGGGCGTGGCATGGCTTGGTGGGCGTGGCTTGGTGGGCGTGGCAGGGGAAGGATACCGTAAAATCTCCATTCCGTCCCCAATCCAGGGGAAGGTTACTGCAAAATCCCCATTTCCTCCCAATCAGCTGGGACTTGGGAGGCAGAGAATAGATGGGGGTGGGGCCAGCAGAATTTTTACTACCGGTTCTCCCAACTACTCAAAATTTCCACTACCGGTTCTCCAGAACTGGTCAGAACCTGCTGGAACCCACCTCTGGTATATACCCACATATATTCTATGACACAGAGAAACAACACAGTCTAGTTCGGATGTATACATGTACGTGGCGAGAAAAACAAATCTTGTGAGTTTACCAGACGGATGGCCTAGGGAACAAAGCTTTTACAGAAACTGGAAGTTTTTCTAGAAATCCTTCGAAACCCCCTCCCAGAGGGGAGCAACAGAAACACTGTGAAGTCGGTGTGTGGGGTCTCTAATAAGGCTTTGAGCTCTAATCACATAGCGCTTATAAAGCAGCATCCTGAATGATGGGAAGCGAGCTTCCTATAATCTTCTCCACTGTCCTCACCACTCTCTGTAGGGACTTTCTATCTGAGACACTGCAGCCACCAAACCAAACGGTGATGCGGTTTGCTAAAATGCTCTCAATTGTGCCTCTGTAAAAAGTGGCCAGGACAGAAGGAGAAAGATGTGGTCTCCTCATCCGACACAGGAAATGCAGACACCAAGGCGCTAGGAAGCTCTCGATAGCTTGGCTTCAGGATATCTTAGAAAGGACCATCTCCACCAAGTGGAAGATGCCTACTGGGGTCCCATCTTTAGCATAATTTAGGGGGACAAGGCTCAAAGGTTCTCTGGCATGGCCCCTATACTCTGAAATACCACAGCTTTCTTATTAGCCTTTGCAAGTCCATCCAGGCCAATGCTTCTCAACCTTGGCAACTTGAAGAGGTGTGGACTTCAACTCCCAGAATTCCCCAGCCAGCACTGCTTCCCCATTGACTTTGCTTGTCCGAAGGTCCCAAAAGGAGATCACATGACCCCGGGACATTCTCTTGTTTTCATCAAAGTTTTTTATTTTTATTTCTCATAAAACCTATATAAATGTACAATCTCTTTAGCCATTCTTATCACACATATTATCTTTTGGTTTCCATATTGGTTCATTCTTCATCCTAAAACTTTAAAATACATTCGGAGTTGCTCGTCTACCATTCCATATCTCCCTTCTTCCACAACAGCCATTCCTCTCCTCCTCTCCTCTTACCCTTCCCTCCCTTCATCTATTCTTTTCAACTTTCTTCTTTCCTCCTCTCCTTCCCCTTCTCTCCTTCCCCTTTCTTTCCCCCACTCCTCCCCTCTTCCTCTCTTTCTAACCCTCTCTCCTACTCTTATTTCCCCTCCCTTTCTTCCTCTCCTTTTCCCTTTCTTCTCTCTCTCTCTCTTTTCCTCCCTTCTCCTCTCTCCTTCCTACCTGTCCCTCTACTCCTCTCTCCCTTCCATCTCCATTGTTGTGTCCATTTTCAATTCAATATTTTATCAAGATGGAATTCGAGCAGCCCCAATCTTATATTTACCCACATTTTCCTTTCAATCTCTTTTCTATTTTGCTGGTTACACGTATATCATCCTTAGCGTATATTTATATAGTACCTCTTTTTTCATTTTCCCCCTTCTTCCCCCTTTTTCATTTACTCAGGTAGTCATGTAAGGAAGCAAAGAATTATTGGGTTAAAATACAAACATGGTTAGAAGGAATGCTACACCAGCGTATAGAGTTAAGACCAGAGACATTTTTATTGGGAATTTTACCAGAGAAATATGGCAAAGAAGATACGTATTTGACCATACATATAATAACAGTGGCTAGAATAGTATTTGCACAAAACTGGAAAGCAGAAAAAATCCCGTTAGAAGGAATAATAATATTTATTATTAATAAATAAATAAATAATAAATAAATAAATAAATAAATAATATTTATTTAATAAATAAATAATAAAGAAAATTTTAGAATGTGTAGAAATGAACAGATTAATATTAAGAATAAAAGATAAAGAGGAATCTGTGTATTTCAAGACATGGAGACATTTTTATGATTGGCTAGAAAAGAAATATGAATAAAAACAAATGAGAGAAAAGACAAAAAAAAAAAATAGAAGACTCTGGGACATTCAACCATCACAAATACACGCCAGTTGCCAAGCATCCGAACTTTGAGCCCGTGACTACATGGATGCTGCAACGTTCATGTCAAAAATGGTCATACGATCCTTTTTCCTGGGCCGTTTGTTGTAAATTTGAGTGGTCACTAAACAGAAGGTTGAAAGTTTGGTTGTAAATATTAGCTGTATTTTCCCATGGTTGGACTTGGGAAAAGTCCACTTGTGTCTCTTTTAAATAACCCAACTGTTGGGATGCCATCTGCTCTGACAGGCAGAATAAGACTATCCAACCTGCTTTTCTCTTTGCCAAAGAATTTGGATCTTGGCTTAGAAAAGTACAGGTAGTCCTTCACTTATGACCACAATTGAGCCCAACATGTCTTGTTGTTAGGTGAGACATTGGTTAAGTGAGTTTTGTCCCATTTTACGACCTTTTTTGCCACCGTTGTGAATCCCTGCATATTAAGCTAGTGACGGTTGTTAAGTGAATCTGACTTCTCCATTGATTTTATTTGTCAGAAGGTCGCAAAAAGTGATCACATACAATTGTCATAACTATGAGTCAGTTGTTATGCATCTGAATGTTGATTGTGTGACCCTGGGGAGTCTGCAACGGTCGTAAGTGTGAAAAACAGTCATAAGTCACTTTTTTCAGTGCCATTGTAACTTTGAATGGTCACTAAGTGAACTGTGTTAGAGTTTGCAGCAATCCAACAAGCACACAAGAAAATAATTCAGCAGGATTCATGTAAAAAAGAAACTTCTTCATATACAGTAATATAAAGCATGATGCATGTATACAGTACCCATGCAGCAGAAGCCAGAACCAGAACTCAGAATCCAGAAGCACAGAATCTATATAATCACAGAAGCTTTATATATATATACAGACTACGCCCAGGCTCCGAGCCATCTCCCACGGCTCACAACAGATCCTGTTTCTTAGTCACCAAACAGTTCCCATTGGCTGACTTGTTGTTATGGCTATCCCAGTTCATAATTTCTTATACACTGACAAACTGTTGTAAGTCAAGGACTATCTCTATTATTTCTGCCACTGAATTAGGAATGTTTTCTTTTGATGTGTTTCTTTAGATCTCAGGAAGAAATATAAGAGGCACATCCGAGAGGTTTTTCAAAATCTTCCTCAACTTGTCCCGCACTCCAATCGGAAGGTGACTCTCCAAGAGAACTATGTAGAACTTCTTCTGAAGAGGAGACCAGAACTGCCCAAAAGAGATCATGAGATGATGGCTGTGGAAAGAAAGCACCGGGAGATGAAGAACCATCCAGAAAATGGCCTGAAGGTTGATCTGGAGAACTTATTTCATCCACATCCTGAAGGAGAAAACTCAAAAACTGTCCTGTTGCTTGGACCTTCAGGGACAGGTAAAACCACAGCCACGTGGAAATTCATGTTGGACTGGGCATCAGATAAACTATGGCTGACCAAGTTTGCTTACGCCTTTTATATCTCTTGCAACGCCCTCCGATGTGGCACCAAGCTTATGAGTACAATGGAGATGATCCTCAACAGTTGTCCTCCAGGAATAGTTTCTATGGAGGACATTTTGGCCAACCAGGACAACCTTCTCCTCATTGTTGATGGTTTTGAGGACTTGAAGCTCTCTGATGTCCCAGCTGATACGCTGGACAAGGATCCCCATCAAAAGCAGGAAGTGGTGAGTCTGTTGATAGGTCTGCTCAAGAAAAAGATCTTCCCCAAGTGTCATCTCCTGGTGACCACAAGGCCCATGGGTGTGAGCCCACTGTTGAAGTGTCTGAGATCACCACTCTTGGTAGATGTGTTGGGCTTTGACCCTGTTCACAGGAAGGAATATTTCCACCGCTTCTTTCAAAATATGAAGCAAGCCAACCAGATATTTGAATTGGTTCAAAGAAATGAAACTCTTCTCAGCATGTGTTTCCTCCCCGCAACCTGTTGGGTCATTGGCTCCATTTTCCAACAAAACCCACAGGCAGAATTTCTTCAAGAGATCCCTGAAACAGCAACACTCACTGAAATTCACCTGCATCTCCTCTTGAGTTTCTTGGGTACCAATTCCAGGCCAAGCCACCTGGAAGCCCTCTGCTCCTTAGCAAAAGATGGAATACTCCACAGAACAATGACCTTCCATGAAGAAGAGCTGAAGGAACGTGGCTTGGATTATTACTTGACTTCAGACTCTCCTTCTGCAAGTAGGAAAGTCTTCCACCAAGATATTCAAGTGAAAACCTTGTACAGGTTCACCCACCTGAGTTTCCAGGAGTTTTTTGCAGCCTTGTTCTACCTGCTGGACACTGAGGAGACCACCGGAACACCTTCCCGAGACCTGAGTGAGGCATTTGGAGATCAGAAGGAACGTACCAGCAGGTACCTCGTGTTGATCCGTTTTCTCTACGGCTTGTCCAACGTGGAAAGAATGAGTGTCCTTCAAAAATCATGGTCCTTCAAGCTATCCAGGACTAAAGTTTGGCCAGAATTGCTAAGGTGGGTGGGTCAGGAAGCCAAAGCCCACTCCTTTAAAAGAGAAGAGGTTCTGTTGGAATTGTGTCATTGTATTTATGACATGAAGGATGCTGTCTTTGCCCAGAGAGCGATGAAGGATGTCCACGACTTGGATCTCAGAACACAACTTTTGACCAAGCTGGACTTCAAAGCTTTATCCTTTTGCCTGTCAGTTGCTGAGGTTTTGAATTCAGTCCGTCTCTCTGGCTGTGAGTTTGGGCGTCAAAGATTCCAACATCTTTTGCCAGGATTCCTGAAATCTTCAGAGATCCAGTAAGTAGAAAGAGACTCAAGGGACAGTTGAGTTGGCGATGGGTTCAAAACATATCATTTGATTGTCCCATCAGTACAGGTAGTCCCTGACTTACAACAGATCATTTAGTGACCGTTCAAAAGTCATAACGGCACTGAAAAAAGTGACTTAGGACCATTTTTCACACTTATGACCGTTGCAGCATCCCTAGGGTCACGTGCTTGGCAACTGTCTCATATTTATGATGGTCCTGGGGTCATATGATCCCCTTTTGCAACCTTCTGACAGGCAAAGTCAATGGGGAAGCCAGATTCGCTTAACGACCATGGGAGTTGAAGATGTCCACCCATCTTCAAGTGGACAAGGTTGAAAAACGTTGACCTGATGGGTGATGGTCAGAGCATGGAAAATGAGAGGATAACAGAATAACAGAGTTGGGAGGGACCTTGGAGGTCTTCTAGTCCAACCCCCTGTTCTCTTAAGAACCTCCAGTAATGGAGCAGCCACAACTTCTGAAGGCAACTTCTGTTCCACCAGTTAATTGTTCTCACTGTCAGAAAATTCCTCTTTAATTCCAGCCCGGCCTTCTCCTTGATTAGTTTCCATCCGTTGCTTCTTCTTCTACCTAGAGGTTGTGTTTGTGTCTACCTATTTCCTCCATAATCTTTGTTTGTGTGCCTCTCTCAATTTCCACAGGCTGAACCGGTGTGGCCTCTCTCCCACTGCCTGCAAAGACTTGACACCCATCGCGATGACCAATGCAAGGCTGACCAGTCTGGACTTGGGTGAAAACCCCCTGGAGGATTCCGGGTTCTCCTACCTGTGTGAATGGCTGCTTCAGCCCACGTGCCCACTTCAAAGCCTCAGGTGAGCAGCCTCATCTCCACCCGGAGGGCAGCAAACGGGAGGGTCTCATTCAGTGGTGAAATGTAAAATTTGTTACTACTGGTTCTGTGAGCGTGGCTTGGTGGGAGGGGAGGTAATGTGACTGGGTGGGCGTGGCCAACTTTTTTTTTTTTTTTACTTTTAAAAGCATTTTTTCTACAACCTCTTCAGACGAAGAGGTTGTAGAAAAAATGCTTTTAAAAGCCTCTGACGATCCCAGCAGAGCCGTGCGATCATCAGAGGCTTTTTTTTTCTTTTAAAAGCATTTTTTCAGCCGAAGAGGTTGTAGAAAAAATGCTTTTAAAAGTTTTTTAAAAAGCCTCTGAGGATTGCACAACTCAACTGGGCATGGTAGAGCGGGGGGCACAGGGATTTTTGCTACCACCTGCCGCCTTTGCTACCGGATTGGGCGATCTGGTCCAAACCGGGAGCATTTCACCCCTGGTCTCATTCCCTTGTCCGACACCACTTCATTATCCCCATCCCCCAACCCTTTAAATTTAACTACTCTCGAATACTGTTCATCCCAAAAGTGGCCCTCTTCCCACCAGGGGGAATTTGGGGCTTGTAAAAGGGGTGCTGGCAGGCCCCATGTGACCTCGCCTTCTGCCATCCTTCACTAAATCAATGTGGCCACTTTAAATCTGACCAATAAACCATGGTTTGCACCCCCATGGCTGAATTTTGATGATGCCGATCCACCCACCAATTTTTCTTATTTTCTTCTCCAAAAAGTAAGGTGCATCTTATACTCTGGTGCGTCTTATACTCCAAAAAATATGGTATATATCTCTATCAATCAATCATCTTTAGGCTTTTAGGAAAAGATTGGACAACCATTTGTCTGAGACAGTATAAGGACTTGAGCCGGGGATGGAGTAGAAGACCTCCAGGGTCCCTTCCAGCTCTAGGATTCTGTGATTCTATAATCCCGGTGCAAATCCTTCCCCCCCCCCCCCAATTCTCCATCTCCTACAGGCTGCCCTCCTGCAATCTCACAGCTGCCGTCTGTGGGCCCCTTTCTCAAGTCCTGGAATCCGGCTCTTCCCTTCTGGAGCTCAATCTGGGGGCCAACCCCCTCGGTGACATTGGAGCAAAGCAGCTGTGCCAAGGGCTGAAGCCCCCCTCTTCTCGGCTACAGAGACTCATGTAAGCGTCCTTGATTAGTTTCCATCTGTTGCTTCTTGTCCTGCCTTCCGATTCCTTGCAGAATGGGTTGACTCCAGGGATGGGTTCTAAATTTTTTTACTACCAGTTCTGTGGGCGTGGCTTGTTTTGTGGGCGTGGCTTGGTGGGGGGGGTAATGTGATTGGGTGGGCATGGCCAACTTTTTTACTTTTAAAAGCATTTTTTCTACAACCTTAAGAGGTTGCAGAAAAAATGCTTTCAGAAGCCTCTGACGATCCCAGCTGAGCCGCACGATCATCAGAGGCTTTTTTCTTTTTACTTTTAAAAGCATTTTTTCGGCCGAAGAGGTTGTAGAAAAAATGCTTTTAAAAGAAAAATTTTAAAATTGAGTTAAATGGCTTGAGTTAAATTTTAAACTGATTTTAAATTGGAATTTTTTAATTATGGCCAGAATATTTAATTATTTTAAACAGTTTTTAGATTTTGTATGTCTTGTTTTTACTTTGGCTGTTCACCGCCCTGAGTCCTATATTGGAGAAGGGCGGTATAGAAATTTAAACAAACAAACAAACAAATAAATAAATAAATAAATAAATAAATAAATAAATAATAAAAAGCCTCTGATGAGGTGGGCGGGGTAAGCGAGTGGCGACTGGGCTGGGGACCAGTTCGGGGGCATGGCCAGCCAATGTTATTACCGCTTCTCCGAACTACTACAAATTTTTACTACCGGTTCTTACGAACCGGTGCAAACCGGGAGCAACCCACCACTGATTGACTCAGATTGCAATCTGGAATTCTGGGATGGCTGGAACTCCATCCATCATCCATTCGGCACCATCATAACTTGGGACTGTCGCTGAATGAATCAGTTGTAGGTTGAGGACAAACCTGTATATGTAATCTTCGACTTATGACCACAATTGAGCCCAACATTTCTGTTGCTAAGTGAGACATTTGTTGGGTTTCCACACCCCCACTTGTATGACCTTTTTTGCTACATTTGTTAAGTGAATCATTTGCAGTCGTTAAGTTAGGCACCCGGTTGTTAAGTGAATCCGGCTTCCCCATTGACTTTGCTTGTCAGTTGCAAAAGGACTGCTCTGCAACTGCCATAAATGTGAGTCAGTTTTCAAACCTCCGTATTTTGTTCACATGACCATGGGGATGTTGCAATGGTCATAAGTGTGAAAAACGGTCATAAGGCTCTTCAGTGCCATCGTAACTTCGAATGGTCACTAAATGAACTGTTGTAAGATGAGGTAGAGCCCCTGAAACTCCACATTATGATGGCTCCTCGTTTGGTTTGCAAAAGAGCATTAAAGCTTAGTCAACCTTGCTCAGGTCTTAAGTTTCATCTGGAGAGTTTTTCCTTTTCCCTCCTGCGTTGTGTTACGTTGTGTTGCTGGGACACATCTGGTGAAACTGAGGATGGAAAGTGTCAGGGCACAGCAGAGGGAACTCTTGTGTCTCTTGTCCACCAGTTTGGACCCCCAAGAACCAACCAGCTTTCTGGGCAACTAACCACACAAACAGAGACTCACCTGCTGGCTAGATCTGTCTGAAAACATGATGAGGGATTTTGTGATCTCCCAAACATGGTGGGCCCACGGGTGTCCTTGTCTTCCATTGCAGCTTACACTCCTGCGGCCTGACCACCGGTGCCTGTGAAGACCTGTCCTCTGTCTTGGAAACCAGCGAGACCCTCTTGGAGCTGAACCTTGGGGATAACAGCCTGGGAGATGAAGGGGTCAGGCAGCTGTGCCAAGGGTTGAGACAAAGGTGCTGCAAGCTTCAAAAGTTGATGTAAGTGTGCAGTTCTCCCAGGGACCTGGGAAAAGAGTTTGACCCCTCCCCCTCATCTTTGTAGGAACCCCTCAAATATGATACATCATCATCATCTTCTTTTAATGACCCCATAATCCCTTGCGGGTGGAATCTGGGCAATTGAATGGAGCTGAGGGTTTACTGGCTGGATGCCCTTCCTGTCACCAATGAGGAGTTTTGTTCAGGAGATACATTCTCATTGTGCCCAGAGAGAGAAATATCTGACTCTAACCTAGGATCGAACTCTCAGCCTCCTGATTGTGAGGCGAGAGCTCCACCTCTAGGCCACCGCACCACTCCGCTATCAATATGGTAAATAACAATAAATAATTATTTTAAAAGAGTTGGAAGGGGCTCCAAGGTCCCTTCCAACTCTGTTATTCTGTTATCATCAGGAACGGTGGGTGCTCTGGTCTTCAACATTTAGCTTGGCTTCTGCTGACCCCATTTTTTTGAGTGGACCTTGGTCAATGGCCAAAATAAAGTCCTTTGAGCTTTGAGTGGGAACAGTGGTGGCATCTTTGCCATCTTAAATTGACTCTTATCTTCCAGCCCAGATGAGTTGAATTTCCCAGCCTCCCAAGAGCTGCGATGGAAATAAAGATGATTTAATTTCTGCATAATGTTTTGTCAAGAGGTCTTCCTACCACCTGGCTGGTGGGGCAGTACCCGTATCAGCTTCCAAAACAAGGCCATATGGCTCACGAATTTATGCTGCCCTGCTCAGCAGTTGATGCCATCAACCCTTCAGCTCACAGCGATGGGCATCAGATGATCTGCAAGCTGTCGAAACTGGCATCTTTGCCCGAAAGCCTGACTTCTTTCAACATGAATCTCAGCAAAAAAAAAATAACAGAATAACAGAGTAACAGAATAATAGAGTAACAGAATAAGAGTAACAGAGTAATAGAAATACAGAGTAACAGAATAGAGTAACAGAATAATAGAGTAACAGATTAAGAGTAAGAGAATAAGAGTAACAAAATAACAGAATAGAGTAACAGAATAATAGAGTAACAGAATAACAGAATAGAGTAACAGAATAATAGAGTAACAAAATAAGAGTAACAGTAATAGAAATACAGAGTAACAGAATAGAGTAACAGAATAAGAGTAACAGAGTAATAGAAATACAGAGTAACAGAATAGAGTAACAGAATAATAGAGTAACAGAATAAGAGTAACAGAATAAGAGTAACAGAGTAATAGAAATACAGAGTAACAGAATAGAGTAACAGAATAATAGAGTAACAATAAGAGTAACAGTAATAGAAGAACAGAGTAACAGAATAATAGAGTAACAAAATAATAGAGTAACAATAAGAGTAACAGTAATAGAATAATAGAGTACCAGAATAATAGAGTAACAGAATAATAGAGTAACAGAATAACAGAATAGAGTAACAGAATAACAGAGTAATAGAATAATAGAGCAACAGAATAATAGAGTAACAGAATAACAGAATAGAGTAACAGAATAACAGAGTAATAGAATAATAGAGTAACAGAATAATAGAGTAACAGAATAACAGAATGAGTAACAGAATAACAGAGTAATAGAATAATAGAGCAACAGAATAACAAAGCAACAGACTAACAGAAAAACAGAATAATAAGAGTAACAGAATAACAGAATAACAAAATAACAGAGTTGGAATGGAGGTTTTCTAGTCCAACCCCCTGCCCACACAGGAGACCCTACACCATTTCAGACAAATGGTTGTCCAACCTCTTCTTAAAAGCTCCAGTGATGGAGCATTCACCACTTCTTGTGACAAGCTGTTCCACTGGTTAATTGTTCTCCCTGTCAGGAAATTTCTCCTTAGTTCCAGGTTGCTTCTCTCCTTGATTAGTTTCCATCCGTTGCTTCTTGTCCTGCCCCCCAGGGGCTTTGGAGAAGAGGTTGACCTCCAACTCCTTGTAGAGCTGCTGATGAGCAGAGATTTGCAAGCCAATTTGTGTTCTGGAGAGTGTCCCAATTCTGATGTGTTGGTTTGTTTCTCCTCCTTCCAGACTTACAATGAAATCATTCAACCAAACCACGAAGGGGAAATTGCAGGCAGCTTGTGCGAGGCATCCTGGCTTAGTTCTGACTTCCTACTATCCTCCGGATTTCCCCCGCTTCCCAGGTACTGAAGAGTAAAAGTGGAGTTCACACCTGCTTTCCTGGTGCTCCTGAAGGATTGGGAGTATGGTGACATGGACAGTAGGTGTGGAAACCTTCAAAGGCCAGATCACCTTTTGCATTACCTGCTGCGTCGCAATCCTACAGCTGATTCACCTGCCTGGCTATGAGGTTCTGGTGGCCCTCTGGACTTAGAGCAAGTGGGACTTGGCCATGTGGAAGATCTTCTCAACTGGAACTCCTCAAGAGGTTGAACTCCATCTTCCATAATCCCCAACTAGCATGTCAGAAGAACGTTCTGGTCCAGTCTGAGCCAGGATTCGCATAAAAATGATACTAGAGTCACTGCTTGAAAAGGAAGAAGTTTATTCAACAAATATGATTAGAGGACTGAAGGCTAAAACTTATGAAGAACCGTTGCAGAAACTGGGTAGTTCTAATGATGGCCAACTTTTTTGCCATTGCGTCCCAAAAGCGGAGGGAGTGGGGGTCGCGCATGCGCGTGCCCATATCCATAATTATATGCGCCCCAACCCCCCTTGCATGCATAGAAACCCCCCCCCACCGCATCAGTCCCGCTTTTGGCACGCAATGGCCCGGTGAACTGGGTAGGCCTGTTTTTTGCTCTCCCCAGGCTCCAGAGCCTCTCTAGGAGCCTGGAGAGGGGAAAACGGCCTTCCCCACCCCCTCCGGAGGCCCTCCGAAGGCTGGAAACGGCCCGTTTGCCAACTTCTGGTGGGACCCAGAAGGTGCAAAAGTCAATTGGCTGGCGCGCGCATGCACGCCGGAGCTGAGCTCGGGTACCCACCGATATGGCTCCATGTGCCATCTGTGGCACGCGTGCCATAGCTTCACCATCATGGTTCCAGTTTAATGAAAAGAAGGACCAGGGGTGACATGATAACAGTCTTTCAATATTTAAGGGGCTGCCACAAAGAAGAGGGATTCAACCTATTCTCCAAAGCACAAGAAGTTACGAGAAGAAGTAAAGGATTGAAACAAATCAAGGAGAGATTCAACAGAGAACTAAGGAGAAATTTCCTGTCAGTGAGAACAATTGATCAGTGGAACGATCAGTTGTTGCCTCCAAAGAGATTGTGGGTGCTCCAACACTGGAGTTTTTAAGCAGAGATTGGACAGCCATTTGTCTGAAATGGTATTATAGGGTCTCCTGCTTGAGCAGGGGGTTGGACTAGAAGACCTCTAAGGTCCCTTCCAATTCTGTTATTTGAGAGTATAGAAACAGCCCTTTGGGTAGCTACAATTTTGGGCATAGAGGTTGGTAATATTTATAAGAAAGTTGGTAGGGTTGCCAGGTCTGCTTCCAAAAAATAGCGGACAAGCGGGGGTGGGTGGGGGTTATGTAGTAAAAAAATTTTTAAAAAATGTACAATTAAATTATATATTTTCTTACAAACATTTTAACACGTATTAAAATAATCACTTCAAAACTTTACTCAGAATTCAAAACATCAAATATATTATAATATGCAAAATATTAAATTACATTTTACTTTGCTGTCGTGTGTATTTTTTATTTGATTGCGCAGCTTTGATCAATTCTTTGTGTTAAGGAATAATTCTTTAATTTCAGTACAACGTTGAGAAATATTAAAAAATATACAAAGTTCACTTCGAACTGATGGTACAAGCAGTCGGTTACTTCGTCAGTCCACAAATTTCCCATGACGCTGAAAATTCATTCAACGTTTGCATTTGATACCGGAATTGATGCACAATACTGGAACAGTTTCAGTAAACTCGGAGCTGGCTCTTTCTTGAAAAAGTACGTCCACTTATCAAGGGATGAATCGCCCTGCAGATGAATATAAACTTCTTCTAAGGCAGAAATTTCATCGAAGAGAGTGTTGGGTGGAAGTTCTTCTCGCCATGGTGATAATAACCAGATGTTCATCCATTTCTTCTAAAGTTGGAGGATTATTGCAATCAATTAGATTGAAACAACTTAGCGTCTCATATACTGAATCGGTGAAATTATACCACTTTTCTAGATACGCAATGGCTCTTTGATACACGTTGATGGCTTCTTTCTTGAACTTTTGCACAGCATTCTCAGGCAAATGTTTTTTACATAAGGCAAATAAAACTTTCATTCCAAAAAACTGCTCATCATATTTTTGCAAAGAATCACGCAGTTTACACATGATAATGTGAAGATCACATGCAAGAATTTTCTTGCTTTCCAGCTTCAGTAGGGTGTCTTGCATTATTGGCATGAAGAAGTGCGTGAAATATAAATACAATTCTGAAATTATTGGTTCATCGTCCTTTACGAGTTCATTTTCCTGATCCGAAATAAGGTCCCAGATAACCTTATGGCACTCATCAGATCCAAGAGAAATAAAATACGATTTTAGAGGTATCCAGTTTAAAAGAAGTCTTTCGACCGCTTTAAACAAACTTAACCAACGTGTTGGAACATGGCGCAAAACTTCATTAAATTCTGACTCGCAAAACTCAAAAAATGATTTCAACTCTTCTCATTTCTTCGCAGAATTCGAAAATTCGGCAAAAACCTTCAGCACTACATTTTCAATATCAAAAGATAATTGCTTTAATGCATTTTTTGCGCTGTTGTGTAAAATGTGATTATTGCAATGAGCATTCGATCTTTGTCTCATTCTAACTTATGAAAAAGACAAAACACGATTCTCCTATCCTTATTCTCTTAGACTGTACAGCTTTAGATTACGTACCATTTTATCATAAAGCTTTTGAATAAAAAAAAATGTCCACTATTTTGTGAAAAAAAATAGTGAACATAATGTGAAAAAAGTGGACTCTCCACTCAAATAGTGGACACCTGGCAACCCTAAACGTTGGTCCTTTGTGAGATGTGTGTGAATGTGCCCTTTGTCATGCTTAATTTGGTGGACATGCAGCTCCAGTAGGGATGCCCTTATCTTAGTTTGCAAATATCTTTTCTTTGGTATGTGTCTATATGCTTATTCTGGAATGCCACATCTGTATGCTCAGGGCAATTTGTATTATAAGGGATTTTCCCTGTTTGCTGTTATTTGCATGATTTAATCAATCCCAGCCTGGCTGTCAATTATCGACTAAAAGTAGTTAAAAGCGTATTTGCAACCTTATACTGCCTTTGCAATATAGTTCCTGAAGAGTTGTTGGGTCATCTCCAAAGACCGTCCCATGAGCCACGGTGGCGCAGTGGTTAGAGCGCAGTACTGCAGGCTACTTCTGCAGACTGCCGGCTGCCTGCAATTTGGCAGTTCAAATCTGACCAGGCTCAAAGTTCTTCCATCCTTCCGAGGTCGGTAAAATGAGGACCCAGATTGTTGAGAGCAAGAGGCTGACTCTGTAAACCGCTTAGAGAGGGCTGGAAAGGACTGTGAAGCGGTATATAAATCTAACTGCTATTGCTATGTAGAATACATTGCAGTAGTCCAGCTTGGGACTGCTCAAACCATTAGTTACTCTTGCCAAGGTTTTGGGGACCAATAGGGATGAATCTGTTGCACTAGCCAAAATTATGAAGAGCCATCTCACCTCAACAGCATCGGCCTGCCCCATTCTTTCCAGCAGAAGAGGCATGGCATGGACTCCATCGGTCAAGAAATTCCGTCTGGCTGGTCTGCAAACACCTCCATTATTACCTGAATCAATGTTTCTTAAACTGATCAACTTTAAAATGCTTGCTGGCTAGAGAATTCTGGGAGTTCCCCACATCTTAAAAGTTAGAATAGAATTCTTTATTGGCCAAGTGTGATTGGTCACACAAGGAATTTGTCTCTGGTGCATAAGCTCTCAGTGTGCATACAAGCAACAAGTCACGATCGTAGTCATAGTAAAAATACATCCATCATAAATCATAAGATGCAACACTTAGTGATGGTCATAGAATTGCTGAGGCAGAGAATAACTTCACTGTGTCAAGTTTCCGAAAGATGCCCTAATTAATTCATGAGCCATGATCCAAACTTCAAAGGAAATATATTCATTTATTAGGAGCAACATTCCGACAATGCTGGGATGCAGTTAGGACTGATCCTCCATAAATTTACATTCCCCTATGACCCTTTCTCTCCCCTCCTCTCTGACCATGTCATAAATCACATTCGCCAATTAACCACTTTGGCTGGCTGTGAAACCTAACACCCTCCTTCTGATTGCGGTCAGAAAGAATGTATGGAATTCACTTCAGTTCTCCCTCCCTCCTGCTCATGGCAACGTGAAAGCTTCGCAAGTTGACACACTGGATTATAAAGAGGAAAATATCCAGCACAGACAGACTTTGCAAGATGATGTTGTTATAGCCAGTGGCAATTTTGGGGAGGTGGGGGTGGGGAAATCCTTTTATTTACATGGCCAAGAGTTGGTTCTTTCCAATGAGTCTCTCACTTTCTGCCTACCCCAGATTTTCCTTTTGACAGAAGTTGTTGCTTGGATGAGTAACGAAACGTCTTCAGTTTTAATAAACTTTGGTCCAGTGGCCATGATGTAACCATTTGAGATATTCTCCATAAAGATGTTTCTGGATCTCCTGCAGTTGATGGTCTGTTTTGGTCTGATCTACCTAGTGCAGGGGGGTGTCAAACTCGATTTCATTGAGGGCCGTGTCAGGGTTGGGTTTGACCTGGGGGTGGGGGTGTGTGGTCAGGATGGGCGTGGCCAGCTCGACATCACTCGTCGGGGGGGGCACCTGTGGTGGTGACCAAGTGCTAAGGCAGGACTTCCCTCAGACCCTCCCTCACTCTCATTATAATCTTCCTTCCCTCTTCCCTCTCTTTTCTTCTTCCTTCCCCTCATTCCTTCTTTTTCCTTCCTTGCTCTCTTCCCATCTTCCCTTCTTTTCCTTTGACTTTCCTCTTTCCCTTTCTCCTTTCCTGTCCCTTCTTGCATGCTCAAAGGCAAAAGGAAAAACATTTCTCCTTTTCTTTTTGTTTTGTTTTTAGCCCTCTGCCAGCAAAAATGGAGGTGGGGGGGCACACACGGCTCTCTGGGTCCGGTTTTCAGCCGCGATGGCCTCCTGCAGCCCTCTGCCAGCAAAAACTGAGCTCGGGGTGTGTGTGCACGTGGCCCTCCCGAGCTCCATTGTTGCTGCCAGAGGCACAGTGGGCCGGTCCTTTGCTGTTTACAGGGTGCCTCGTGGTCAGCGCCAAGCACCTAGCCACTGCGGGCCTTGAGTTTGACACCCTGATCCAGGGGTGAAATCCAACAGGTTCTGGAGAACTGGTAGCTGAAATTTTGAGCAGTTAGGACAACCGGCAAATACCTCTGGCTGGCCCCAGAGTGGGGTGGGAATGGAGATTTTGCAAATATCCTCCCCCCTGGAGTGGGGAGCGAATGGGGATTTTGCAATATCCTTCCCCTGCCACGCCTACCAAGCCACGCCCACAGAACCGGTAGTAAAAAAAAATGGATTTCGCCACTGCCCTGATCTACTGGGATTGACGTCAGCTTTACAAATCTGCCACGCTCTTTCAAGACGGACTGAAAATCTCGCCTTTATTCGTGGGGATAGCTCTGATCTGGGTGAAGAGGCTGCGTCAGGGCTGCCTCCGATCAGTTCCTAGGAAAGAAAACCCTTGACTCCGTAAATTCAGAGAAAAGATACTTTTACTAAAGAAAGAACTGAATGCAGCAAAAGCTTGGGAAGGTCTGGAGCAAATGCGCGGGAAAAAGACAAATTGAAAATAGCCCCCAGAGTCTACACCCCAGGAGTCAGGCTAATATAGTCCAATCATCAGCCAGGAAGATGTTTTGAGAAAGTCTCTGGTCCAGGTGCTCCACGCCGCCCTCGTGCACGCCATTTCCAGGACGGTTGGCCTTGAAGCTGTTAAAACAACCCAAGCTGGCCTCTCCGAGTCCATGCCTCCACATCAGTTGTCAGTAATCCACTCTCACATCACCTACACTCTTCCCCTCCCAAATGCCCTGTCAGGGTGGCAATTAATCCTATTCTGCTTTTGGGTAATTGCACCTTGATTAGAGAATGGATTGTGACTTTTCCCTTGCAGTATACTTTAAGAAAATAAACCCGAGATATATTCTAATAAAACTCATTTTATTATAAAGAAAGTAAAAACATCTTACTAGCTATTAATTACATCTAGGCAGCGTTCCTGCCTTGCGTCTTGGCAGGCAAACAAAGAAAGTTAGAAGAAAGTGAAAGAAGGAATGTGGACATGCGCAGTGGCTTCTGAGATAAGAGTCAGACAGTCTACCGTAAATCTCAGAATGGGAGCACAGCTGACAAATACAAAAATGCAGTGACATGCCCATTGCTCCCTCCCTCCCTGTTTCCATGGCAGCCGGCTGGAAGGAAAAACGATGATGGCCAGGCTGACAAGCTGCTTAGGAAACGATTCCCCAAACTTTCCGGCTTTGTGGACCGGCGGGGCGGGGGAGTAGGGATGGTTTCACACAAGTGGCAGGTTAAGTGTGGACTCGCGCAACTCCATTTGCACGAAGTGGCACACACGCCTGCTACATGCAGAAATTTATTTATTTATTTATTTATTTATTTATTTATTTATTTATTTATTTATTTATTTATTTATTATATTTCTATACCGCCTTTCTCCCGTAGGACTCAAGGCGGTGTACAGTCAAGAAAAATATAGATACACAAACATCATAAAATTGCTAATTAAAATTATTATAACTTTCTTTCTTCACTTTTAAAATCACTCATAGGATTGTTAGAAATACTTGCGATTTAGGGTCCCAAGTCCAGATTTCATCCCATTTGTTCAGGCAATATGTTAGATTTCATTAATTGGCTTGGTCCCATCGCCTGGCTCTGCAAGAAGCAGAGTTCCCCCGACGCCCGGAGCAACGGCGAGCTGTATAGGGAGCCACATTCTGCTTCCTCCCCAAGAGTAAAAAAAAACTCTGGGGAGTTCGCAGAGGGCTCTACCTATCCACGCCGGCTCTATCTCACGTCTCCTAAGGAGACGGAGTTTTTCGAGCCGTCTCTCAGCTGTAGAGACGGCTCTTTACAGGCGGTGAGGCTGGCGGTCCCGAAAGACCGTCCGGCGGCGGCGGAAACCAAACCGGAAGCCAAAATATCAGGGATATTTCGTATCTCAGGGGGCAGTTCATTCCAAAGGGTTGGAGCCCCCACAGAGAAGGCCCTCCCCCTGGGAGTCGCCAGTCGGCATAATTTGACTGACGGTACCCTGAGTAGTCCCTCCCTGTGAGAACGAACTGGTCGGTGGGAGGCTATTGGTGGCAAAAGACGGTCTCGTAGGTACCCAGGTCCTAAGCCATGGAGCGCGTTAAAGGTGATAACTAACACCTTGAATCGCACCCGGAAGACCACCGGGAGCCAGTGCAGCTCATGTAGGAGAGGTGTTACATGGGCGCAATGAACTGCGCCCATAATCACCTGCGCGGCTACATTCTGGACCAGTTGGAGCCTCCAGGTGCTTTTCAAGGGGAGCCCCATGTAGAGAGCATTACAGTAGTCCATACGGGAGGTGACTACGGCATGAGTGACCGTGTGCAAGGTGTCCTGATCCAGAAAGGGACGCAATTGGCAGATCAGGCGAACCTGATAAAAGGCACCCCTGGCCAAATGATCTTCTAAAGATAGCCGTGAATCCAGGAGGACACCCAAGTTGCGGGCCCTCTCTGTGGGGAGCAAAATCTCATCCCCAATTGTCAGTGATGGAGCCAGCTGACTATACCGGGATGCTGGAAGCCACAGCCACTCGGTCTTGGAGGGGTTGAGTCTGAGCTTGAGAAATGGAGCGTGTGCTCGTGCACTTGCCTGCTGCTCGTGCAAATGGGGATGTGTGGATGCACGTGCTTGCCCGCCGTTTCGGACAGCCCGGTTGTGAACAGCTCAGGGCCCTGTAGTGGGCCATGGCCTGGGGGTTTGGGGACCCCTGAGTTAGAGAACAGAGGTAGGAGCCTCCAGAGGCTCAAGGGTCAAGAGGGAGAAATGGAGGATGCACAAGGCATGGCTGAGGGGGAAATTTGGGCACACGAATTTCAACATGTACTCACAACATCCCAGGGTCATATGAACACCTTCTGCAAACATCCCAGCTAGCTTCTGACAAGCAAAATCAACTTCAAAATCAGGTCATTTGCTTAATGACCATATAACCAACAGCGATGGTTAACAACCATAGCAAACAAGGTTAAAAAAATTGGGTGTGATTCCCTTAACTGATACTGATTTTAATTGATATGTTTTAAATTATGGGCCAAATTTCATTTAATTAGTTTTAATAATTATTTTGTGTACAAATGTTTTTATTTTGGCTGTTCACCGCCCTGAGTCCAAAAGGAGAAGGGCAGTATACAAATTTAATAAATAAATAAATAAAATAAAATAAACTACCACCTTGCTTAGCAACTAAATTCTGGGCTCAATCGTGGTCGTAAGTTGAGGACTACCTACAGTATACCAGCCCCAATCAGCGGTAAAAAAAAATGACACACACCCCCCCCATCTTCTGAGAAGCAGATGAGTGACCAGTCTATGGTGCTCATCTCTGGAGGTTTTTTCAAGAAGAGGCTGGACAGCCGTTGGTCCAGAATGGCATAAAGTCTCCTGCTCGGGCACGGGGTTGGACTAGAGGACCTCCAAGGCCCCTCCCAATTCTGTTATTCAGTTAATTGATCAGTGAAACAGCTTGCCTCCAGAGCAGGGGTGAAATCCAGCAGGTTCTGACAGGTTTTGGAGAACCGTGTAGCGGAAATTTTGAGTAGTTCAGAGAACCGGCAAATACCATCTCTGGGTGGCCCCAGAGTGGGGTGGGAATGGGGATTTCACAGTATCCTTCCCTTGGAGTGCGGAGGGAATGGGGATTTTGTAATATCCTTCCCCTGCATGCCCACCACACCATGCCCACCAAGCCACGCCCACAGAACCACAGAAATCCAAAAAATTTGGATTTCACCACTGCTCTAGAGGTTGTGGATGCTCCATCACTGGATGTTTTCAAGAACAAACTAGATAGCTATTTGTTTCAAGAAGAGGCTGGACAGCTCTTGGTCCAGAATGGTATAAGGTCTCCTGTGTGGGCAGGGGTGGACTAGAGGACCCCCAAGGTTCCTTCCAATCCTGTTATTCTAGGTTCTTCCAGGCACGGCAGACCCTAGACACAACGCTGCCAAAAATGAAGATTTATTGGTGAAAAGGTACTGCAGAATAGAGCTCTCCTACTTAGCCGCCCCCCGATTTTTTTCCACTTGCCCCACCAGATTTCCCAGTTCTCCTGGTTTTGGAAAGCCCCCCTGGCTTTTCCTGGCTTTTCTTCCAGAAACAGAGCTTTCCTTTCAGGATGTCCCTGCAGAGATGGAGCTTCCCCTGCAGGATGGTGCTGAGGACGGAACTCTGCTTGTCCATGGAAGTGGATGATGGTTGCGGTAGTCTCCCTGCCTGTCCTCCTCCGCCTCTTTCTCTTTTATCTCTCTTTCGGCCCCTTCCTTCTTTTTCATTCGGTCTCGGGCTCTGTCTCCAAATGAACAGTCCCTGTTGCAAGTTCAATTTTTTCTCCAGGATGTTACCCAAAATGGTCATCTTCTCACTATCTGGAGGCCTCTGTTCCTGGGGTGTCTTGTGGACCCCTTGTCTAGGAACCTCCAAAGCCTGGCTGAGCTTCGGGTCAAAGACCAGCCTTCTGATGACACGACATTCTTGGCGTGTTTCCTTGGTAGACCAGCTGACCTTCACCTGCTTCTTCTTCCTGGCTTCTGGGGGCCTTCCAGGTGAACAGCTGATAGGCCTCATCCCTCTAGGGAGAGGACGTTGCACCCCACTGTCCTGCCCCATAGCTTCTGCTTGCGTGAGGTCTACTGGAGTCTGCCTTTTCAGCCAGAGGACCACATCCTTACGTTCTGGAATCTTACCTGGCTTTAGGATGCCATGATCTTCAGTTGATCCCATCACTGCTTCTGCCACTGTGCTGTAGACCAGATCACTTGGTTCTTCTGAGGGGGCCACCAAGGAAAGGGCCGCGTCCTCAGCTAAATTTGGGGGGTGTCTCACTGCTGAGGAAGTAGCCAATCTCCAGCTGTCCATCTCTTCTCTGAGGGACTCTTCTGCCCCCTTGTTCTGGTCTTCCCATTTCACCTCCAACCTTCTTCCCTGATCCCAATCATCGACCCTCACGTCTTTATCTTCTGGGCTGCCTTGGGATCTGGTCTCCAGGGACAAAAGGCTCCGCTCCTTAGTGATGGAAAAGGTGACACTTTCCGTCCTTCCCTCTTCTTTACTATCTGCCTTCAGGGTCAAGCTACAACTTTCATGATGGACCTGAAGTTCAACATCTGTCCTTACGGAGTCTTGCTTTTGAAGGGGGCCCTTTCTACTCTCCGGTTGAACACCATGGTCTTCTGTGGACAACCTGTTTTGTCTAGAGGATGAAGGATACTGCAGGCAGAGGAACCTCTCGCATTCAGAAGACCAGTGTTCCAGCATTTGGGTTCTAAAAAAGGCTTGGCACCAGGTTGCTTCTCCCAGAGAGTGGCCAAGGAACTCTCTCCACGTAAGCCTCCTTCCTCTCCTTTGTAGCCTGCTGCTCTGTGTTGCATGACGCTCCCTCCTGACCTGCCTGTAACATCTGGCTACAACATCCTCGTAGGAAGAATTGGGAACATGAACATAGTGTGGGAAGAAATATGAGACTAGTTGAGAGGTGGGAGCACGATATGGTCGAACCTCCCAAGGCCTGCAATACATCTTGGCAGCTTCTGGCTCTTGGAGAGAAGAATGGCTCATGTCGTCTCCTGAGGACTCTTCTGATTCCTCCATGTCGTCTCCTGAGGACCAAGGGGAATCCTGGGCTTCATTGTCTTCTGCCAGTAGAGAGGAATCAACTACCAGAGCTTCCCCTCTCTTCCAGTGGACTTCCTTCTTTTTCTTCTTCTTTTTCTCTGACCATTTTGGTTGTCTGTCAGAGTTTGACGAGGAGATGGAGGTTTCCTTGGAAGCTGATGAATGGCAGGAGAGATAGCTGGGTATCTTAGGAGACCTTTTCAGTTCCCTGCTAGCAGCTGAAGGAGGAGTCAGCCCTTCTAGAGTGCCTCTCTGTTCGGTTGTCCTCTGAGAACCGTCTTCCTTCTGCCAGCTGACCATCTTTGCCTTAAAACCTGGAAGAGGCGTCATGTTCTTCACCCTTGGCGTGGTTCTTCCATTTGCAAACTTCACTTTTTGGAAGCTGACTCTTCTTTCAAGCTTACCAACATTGGGCATGTAATCCCTGGCGATGTATGAAGAAGGAGAGGAAGGTGGCAGGATCTGAGTATCTTCTGTCCCCTTGGAAGTCCACGAAGGCTGCACATAGGTGGCTGTGGGTGGATATGGCGAGAGAGGCAGGGATCCAGTCATCTCAGAGCAAGGAGGAGATCTGGGGGGCAGGAAGGCCCTCAGAGATCTCTGAACCCTTTCGGGAAGTCCCCATCGATGCTCCGACGTAAGATGTCTCAGGTGGGCCTCCAAGCGTTCCTTTTCCTCAACGCTAAGGAAATTGAGGTCTTGACGAAGGATTTGTACTTCTCCTCCATCACATGGGGGAACCTTGGCCATCGTCCCTGTAATGCACTTCTCAGCTTTAAAGAGATGTGGAGCAAAAGCTTGCAACGATTGTAGCACCGCTGACGGCAAACCCCACGCATGCTGGATTCTCTTCCACTGGATGTGGAATTCCAGAAGGTTCTGGCTGCCCTCTGGGAGGAAAGAGAGTCCCGATTTGGTCCCAGAGCAACTCTGGCCTTTAGTTTGCTGAGACCTGCCTATTGCTCCCTGTCTCTTATCGCCAACACTACGCTTTACTAAAGTCTTCTGCTTGGGTTCTGGCTTAAACATCACCGGTTCATAGACATCTTCAGTTGTCTGTAAGGATTTGGGTGGTAAAGACAAAAGAGGGTGGAATCCAGTCATCCCAGGATGAGGAGTTCTGAGTGGCAGGAAGGCCCTGAGAGATCGCTGAACCCTTTCTGGAAGGCCCCATCTGTGCTCTGACGTACGATGTCTCAGGTGGGCCTCCAAGCGTTCCTTCACCTCAATGCTGAGGAAAATGAGGTCTTGAGTAAGGATTTGCACATCTATTTTGTCCCTCCTGGGCTTCTTCGACATGGTCTTCCCACTAGTCCTCTCTGGCTGAAGAAGATATGGGGCAAAGACATGGAGAGATCTAAGCACCATCGATGGTAGGCCCCACGCGTGCTGGATTTTCTTTCGTTGGATGTGGAATTCCAGAAGGTTCCGGCTGCTTTCTGAAAGGAAAGAGAGCACCATTTTGGTACCAAAACAAGTCTGGGTTTTAGTTTGTCTAGACCTTCTTTGTTTCTTGCCAACTTTGCTCCTGGGCTTTTCTAAACTCTTCTGCTTGGGCTCGGGCATAAACATCACCGGTTCATAGATGTCTTCAGTTGTCTGTAAGGATTTGGGTCGTAAAGGCAAGAGATGCTGGGATCCAATCATCCCAGGATGAGAAGGAGATCTGGGTGGCAGGAAGGCCCTCAGAGATCGCCGGACTCTTTCTGGAAGGCCCCATTTGTGCTTTGACGTACGATGTCTCAGGTGGGCCTCCAAGCGTTCCTTCACCTTAATGCTGAGGAAATCGAGGTCTTGAGTAAGGATCTGCACATCTCTTGTCCCCCTTCTGGGTTTCCTAGATGTGGTCTTCCCACTAGTCCTCTCTGGTTGAAGAAGATTCGGGGCAAAGACATGGAAAGATCTAAGCACCATCGATGGTAGGCCCCACATGTGCTGGATTTTCTTTTGTCGGATGTGAAATTCCAGAAGGTCCCTCTCCTCAACAGGGAGGAAAGAGAGCATCGTTTTGGGACATAAGAACCTCATTGTTTCAGTAGTCTTAACCTGTAATGCTCTTTGGGTTATCTCCGTTGCCCCCAAATGGTGCTTTGCCTTTTGCAATGGTGCTGAAATTTGGGGAGCAAGTGATGTGTCTTGAGGCCGTCTATACCTGTGAGACCAGAGAGGCTGTGCTGAAACCTGGGAAGAGGGCCGAGGAGGGAGGAATGGATGAAACAGATGTTGAATCCGTTTTGGAATCTCCCACCTATGCTTTGTGACCATGGTTCTCACGCTGGTCTCCAGATGTTGCTGTGTACTTGTGTTGAGAAACCAAAGCTGCTGGGCCTTCGTTTTCACATCTGCCTTGTCTTCTGGACTCCTCTGAGCTCTCCTTCTGGTATGTTTCTGTAGGTCGAGTGGAAATGGAGCAAAAATGCCCAGAGATTTCAAGATGGCAGATGGCAGTCCCCACGCATGCTGGATCTTCTTGTGGATGATGTGAAACTCCAGAAGATCCCAGGACGTATGGACGTAGGAAAGCAGCTTCACCTCGGGGGAACTGATGGCAGCTGCCAGAAAGCTGGAACTAGGTCTTGCATCTGGTTTCCTCTGGTGGATGTTCTTCATAGGCTTGATGGTGGCTTCTTTCCAGGATGAGGTCCACCATGGTGGTCCTTCTCTTCTGGAACAGGATGCATTAACTCCCTCTTGCAGGTGGAATCCCAAATGACATTCACGATGGGTTCTTCCATCTTCCAAACTCTCCAGAGCCAGACCTGTCAAGGATCTTTCCCGAAGCTCAGGTGGGACTGGTGCAAAAGCCTGCAGAGATTTCTGCACAAGAGTTGGTAATCCCCACTCGTGCTGAATCCTTTTGTGCCGTACGTGTAATTCCATAAATTCCAAGTCTTCCTCTTTAACAAACATCAGGGTGGTCTCTTTGCCAGGTGTCCTCTTCTGAGTCTCTCTTCCAGACCTCGAAATTTTTTCTCGAGACGTTTCTCCTAGAAGGTCAGCTTTGGGGAGAGCCCTCTTGACTGAGGTTACACAATGTATGTTTTCTGCTTTGTGCTGTTGCTTTGCGGCAGTCTGGAAGAGCCGGTTGTAGGCGTGCCGTGGGGTTTCGGCTTGACCCTGGTCGCCCTCAACTTGGGAAGAAGCAGCAGGGGGCAGAAACATTTTCAATGATTCCTGGACACGTTTGGGAAGACCCCATCGATGGGTTGCAGTTCGGGTCTTCATGTGAGCCTCCAGCAGCTTTTGCATCGCAACATCCAAGAAAAACAAGTTCTTGGTTATTTTAATTGTCACTTTTAATGCACCCGACGATCTGGAGGTGGCAATGCCAAGCCCCTCCAAGAGCCGTTCTGGTTTTAAAGAGAGTGCAGCGAAGGCCTGAAGAGATTTTTGAACCATGGATGGTAAGCCCCATTCATGCTGTAGCTTCTTGCGCCGGACGTGCGTCTCCAGAAGGTCCAAAATCTCAATTTGGACAAAACATGGACCTTTCCTTGAGAATCTCAGTTCTTTTGTTCTGGAATCCATTGCATCGGCTGCTTGACTCTCCCGGCCAATGTTCTTCTCCAGAGTCCACCTCCTAAGCTTGGACATCTCTAGCGGCGGACTTCCTGCAATAACGTTGCCAAACATCTTGTTCAAGGATTTAGTGTAGATACTGGGAAGGCCCCAAAGATGCATTAAATGCTTGCGTTTAATGTTCAAGTTAATCTTTTCCACAATGTCCTGCTCCACAAAGTACAAGCAAGAGGTTCTGGGTTTGATTTCCGAGGACACAGAAGACCATTTAGGAAGAAAAGCACGCTTGATGGGGCCATATCCTATTAACTGGAATTTAATCTCCAGGGATTTTTTCTTGAGATGGGTCTCCAGAGTATATCTAAGGAGTTCTTCCAGACATCCCTCGTTCTTTGGGAGGAGAACTTTTTGAGTTTCTCCAAGGCCAAACTTGGCTTGAGGTTTCTCCTCCGGAACTAGTGATTGAAAAAGCTTTACTGACCGATGGACTTTCTGGGGGATGCCCCACCTTCGCTGCAGTTTCATCCGTTGAATGTGGAGCTCTAGGTTTTGTTTGACCGGCTCAGAAAGGAAACGCAACTCTAGATGAAGCGAGGAAGTCTGAGTTAGGGCCTTCAGAAGACCACGGTGCCGTTGGGGTGCTTCTCCAATTAAGCTTCTAAGGGACCTCTGGACCAGGGTAGAATAGCCCCACTCGTGCTGTAGTCTCTTCTTCCTAACATGCATTTCTAAGTTTTCTTTGACCGCATTTTTGAAAAAGGGGGATTTTACTTCTAAGAACTCAAAGGGGACCTCTTTGAACTTGGCTGAAGGTCCTCCAGGACACATAGCTGCCAATGTCTCCACGTACTTCAGACCCAGGCCCCAGAGGGACACCAAGCGACCTCGCTGCAAAGCTACTTCAATCCGTCCCATGGCTTCCAAGTCAAAGGAGAGGCAGGACCTACGAGTCTGGGGGGTCTTGAGACCAGCAAGGATCATCTTAGGAAGGGACTTGCTTGTAGACAACCAGACACATCGCCAAGAGAAACGGGGGACAGCAGGAAAGGTTTCCAAGCACACCTCCAAATGTTTCTTAGTCAGGTGGACCTCCAGCTTCTTCAAGGCCTGAAGGCTTAACCTGCAAAGTGACTGAGCTGGACGTAATCCGACTGCTCGCGTCTTTCGAATGTCCAGTCGAGGTTTTACAAGGCCCCCTGGCCGTGTTTTTATCCCCAGACTGAGCTTCCGAGAATACTGTTTCACCAACTGCGTGGTCTTCTCCTTGTAGAAAAGCCCCGGGAACAGGCGTCTGCAGGATTCAAGGACTCTTCTGGGCATGCCCCACCTTTGCTGGAGCTTCATCCTCTGAAGGTGAAACTCTAGGAAGTTGGTGACTTTCCGAGGAAGGAAAAATAGCTCTCGAGGGAGGATGGAGGCGTGAGTGACAGCCTTCGGAGGGCGCAATGGGGACATGTGGCCAATGAAGCTCTGCAAGGATCTCTGGGCCAGAGAAGGAAGACCCCACTGGTGCTGGATCCTTTTCTTCCTAAGGTGCATCTCTAGGACCTCCCTGGCCGACGGCTGGAAGAACGGGGTCTTCCCTTCTGCAAACCGAAAGCTAAATTCCTTGGTCCCGTCAGGTGGACGTGGCCTCTCTGCATCCTGTTGGACGACGGTGGCCATCTCAGTAACAGCTTCCATGTACTTGAGGCTGAGCCCCCAGAGAGAGGAGAGGCGGCCCCGTTGCAATGCCGATTCGATCCGACCCATGGCTGCCAAGTCACAGGAGGAGCAGGAGACGCGGATCTGGGGGGTCTTCAGACCCGGAAGGATGAGCTTGGGGAGAGGTCTCTTTTGAGACCATCGAGAAGATCTCCAGGAAATTCGTGGGGCAGCGGGAAAGCTTTGCAAGCACACCTCCAAATGTTTCTTAGTCAGGTGGACCTGCAGTTTCTTCAAGACTTTCGTTTTTAACATGAGGAGTGGGTGAACTGGACATAATTCAAGGCCCTGAATTTTCCTAGCCTTCTCCTCTTCCTGCTTGGGACGTCCTGGCAGTGGTCTTATCCCCAGTCTGGGCTGCTGAGAAAAGGGCTTTACTGCCACTCTCTTCTCCTTAGAAGGAACTTCTGGAAACAGCCGTTGGTAGGTCTCAAGGACTCTTCTAGGCAAGCCCCACCTTTGCTGGAGCTTCATCCTCTGAAGGTGGAACTCCAGGAGAATGCAGGTGTCCTCAGGAAGAAAGCCAAGTTTCCGTGGCAGAGTTTCAAGGCGGTTCCTGGTCTTCTGCAGGATGGAACCCCGTGGGACCACGCTTGGCAGGAAAGCCTTCAGGGATCTCCTGATCACACTGGGGAGGCCCCACTCATGCTGCAGTCTCTTTTTTCTCACATGGGCTTCCAAGGTTTCTCGCCCCCGCTGCTGGAGAAATGGAGTCTGTGCCCCTGAGAATTCGGAAGCTGTCCTCCTGCCTGGGAGGGGCTTGGAGGAAGCTGGAGGAGGGGCCATTGTAACCAGGGACTCTATGTACCGCTTTCCCAGGTCCCAACAGGAACTCAGGCGCCATCTCTGCACAGCCAACTCCATTTTCTTAGCATCCTGAGGGAGCACGAAGGGGAGGGAGACCAAGCGAGCTTGCGAGGGTTTGTCCGCGTGAGATACCAGCTTGGGCAGAGACTGCTTGGCCAACCAGACTGAGCACCTCCAGGAGCGGAGGGCCACCTCTGGAAACGCCTCCGCTTGTATTTCAACACACTTCTTAGCCAGGTGAAGTTTCACCTTCATCTGGATGACATCCAACGATCTCTGGAGCAACGGTGGACCTGTGACCGCTGACCTTTTGGCCTTCCTGCCCAGTTTTTGCACTAGGGAAGTTTCACTCTTGGGCAGAGAAGGAGGAGGCTTCATGTGTCTGAGAGCTTCTTGGACCCTCCTGGGCAGCTGCCAATGCTTCAGATGGACTCTCTTCTTCAGGTGAAGCTCCAGCTTCTTTTTGGTCTTGGCAGCTACAAAGGCGAGGACCCGAGGCCTTCTCACCACAACCGTGACCCCCAGGGGCCTCCCCGAGGAGGAAACTGGAGCAGAGGGCATGAAGCTCCTGAGGGACCTGAGAAGGACCCAGGACATCCCCAGAAGATGCTGGAGCCTCTTTGCTACCCAGTGAGACTCTAAGCTCTGAATCATGGCTTCTTTCATGAAGGAGACGGGCACAGGCGTAAAGTACATCTCCTCTACCTTGGCGGCCTCAGGAGACGCTCGCTTGGGTGAGCCTCTGCTGCTCTTCTGCTTCTGAAGGAAACTTTTGTGGTGTTTACGAGACCGACGGCTCTTCAACCTGCTGAAGATGATGGTGGAGTGGCCAGAAGAGTCCGTCCAGGTACTGACGGATGAGGTCTCATAAGTGCTGGAGGACCAGCTTGAGAAGTCCTCCATATAAACACCCAGTTCCTCAGAGAAACTGTCCCGTGTCTTTCGGTCCTGGGGGGTAGGTTTCGAGGCCTTCTGCCCCATGGGGACACTTGCCACATGCTGGCTGGTTGTATCGGTGGACGCCGTGCCCTCTGGGCCAAAACAAACGGGTCCCACGCAGACCGAAGTCACACTGGAGGTCCAGAGGCAGGACTCCTGTTCTTCCTCGACTGAGGTGACGGTGGAGACTTTAGATTCCTGGCAGGGCCAAGGGGAAAGCAAGAGTCTGAGCTTGGGGTAGCGACCGCCATCTGCGCGCTGCCAATAAATCAGCTGCCAGGCCTCCTGAGCTACCCGCCTGCACACCTGGCAGGCTACTTCTTTGCAGAGCAGTTGACGAAGACGCTGGTAGGGCGTCCGATGGGCAGCCTCTTCTGTAGTCCCTGCAAAGGAGAAGAATCGTTCTAACATTGGACCTCTTTGAAGGACCTCTTTGCCCGCCCCATTTAAACGTAAAACGGCTACGGGGAAGAGGTGGTGCTCACATGACGCAACTTACGAGCTAAGGAGAAACTTCCTGACAGTGAGAACAATTAACCGGTGGAACAACTTGCCACCAGAAGTTGTGGGTGCTCCAACACTGGAGGCTTTTAGAAGATATCGGACAACCACTTCTCTGAGATGGTAGAGGTCTCCTGCTTAAGCAGGGGGTTGGACTAGAAGACCTCCAAGGTCCCTTCTGACTCTGTTATTCTGTTGAACGCTCGGTTGAAGAGGGCTGCTTGCAAGCTATTTCTCTAAGAGGGCAGGGGATGAATGTTTCAGCCGAATCACAGAATCCTAGGGCTGGAAGGGACCTTGGAGGTCATTTAGTTCAACCCCTTGCTCATGGCAGGAGACCTTACTCCATCCCAGACAAATGGCCATTTGATCTTCTCTTCAAAACCTCCGGCGATGGAGCAGCCGCGACTCTGAGAGGCAAACCCTTCCACTGATTAGTCCTCAACCTACGTCCACAATTGAGCCCAACATTTCTGTTGCTAAGCAAGATGTTTCTTAAGTGAGTTTTGCCCCATTTTATGACCTTTCTTCCCACGGTTGTTAAGTGAATCCCTGTAGTTGTTAAGTTGTATTATGGTGGTTAAGTGAATCTGGCTTCCTCAAAGCCTCTGAATTTTGATCATGACATGGAGTTGCTGCAACGGTCGTAAGTGTGAAAAACGGTCCTAAGTCATTTTTTTCGGTGCTGTTGTAACTTTGAATGGTCACTAAATGAATGGTTGCAAGTCAAGGACTACTTGTAATCGTTTTCACGGTCAGGAAATGCTGAACTGTTGTGCAAACTAGCATGTAACTGGTCTGCAGTGTAGGAAGCTCCCCCACCCGTGGAGAATGAAATATTGGGGGGAATATTAAAAGAGGCAGAATATTATATTTCACCAAAGGAGAAATGGAGAAAACGTGTTCTTAAAGGCAGAAAGCAGCCCCAGTCTTCCTGCCATAGGAAAACAGCCTCCAGCAGATGCCTGAAATCTTTAGAGATGGAGATTTTGTGCCTGTTAAGAAATCCAGGCCAGCCTATTCACAAACAAAACACCTTCAGCTCCATCTGATGGGATTAAGAATTCACATCCCCCACCCACCCAAATTCTAAGAACAGGACATGACCTTTAGGACATCATAGAATTAACCCACCACCATTAGAGTAGCAAAGGACATGAGGCTCACTACCCTGCACAACCCCCTGGAGCATCTCAGAACCCTATAAAAATCCATGTACTCATCAGTTGGCCAGCTGTCCCAGAACTACATGCTGTGGTTGGTTCTGCTCATCAATAAACAGAGTCCTTCTTTCCAATCAGCCTCCATTTTATTTCCAGTGCCTTTCTCCTGGTTTGGAAATGGACTGGATTTTTCTTCCTACAGCAGCAATTTTTGCCTTTTTCCAAAAGACTCTACCTGTCCAAGTAGATGAGGGGTGTCAAACTCAAAGCCCGGGGGCCGGATCTGGCGCACAGGATGCTTAGATCTGGCCCATGGGGCTACCCTGGAAACAGCGAAGGACCGGCCCGCGGGGTCTCTGACAGCGAAAATGGAGCTCTGTTTTTGCTGGCAGAGGGTTGCAGGAGGCTGTTGCAGCTGAAAACGGAGCTAGGGAGCCCGTTTTGCTGGCAGAACCCTTGGGTGGCCACAGGTGCCCCCGAAACAAATGAAATCAAGCTGGCCATGTCCACACCGGCCCCCCTGAGGTCAAACACAACCATGATGCGGCCCTCGATGAAATCAAGTTTGACACCCTGGACTAGATCTAGCACAGGTATCAGCAACCTATGGCTCCAGAGCTGCATGTGGCTCTTTGCACCCTCTGCTGTGGCTCCCTGTCAGGTGATCCCATCACTGGCTGGCCCCGCCCCTCACCCTCCCCTCCCAGTCACTCTTCACCTGGCCTGAGAAGGTAAGGGTGACGGCGGGGGATGGAGAAGCGGCCAGGGCAGAGACAGAGAGATAAAGAGAGAGGGGATGAGAGAGAGAGACATAGATACAGAGAGGGAAGGAGGGGGGGGGAGAGAGGGAGGGAGGGGAGAGAGAAAGATGTCCCGGATCCGGAAACACGGATTCCCAGTGTTTTTTAACAACTGGTTCTCTGCCCTAATGACCAGCTGGGTAGGCGTGGCTGGGGGGGAGTCATGTGACCGGTGGAAGTGAGTGACATCGAGTTGGCCACGCCCATCCAGGTTTTGTGGCTCCCGGTGTTTTCTTTTCTGTGGGAAACGGGTCCAAATGGCTCTTTGAGTATTTAACAGGGGTGAAATGCTCCCAGTTCGGACCGGATCACGCGATCCGGTAGCAATGGAGGCGGGTGGTTCGGAGAACCGGTAGCAAAAATCCCTGCCCCCCCAACCCCCATGCCCAGCTGAGCCGCACAATCATCAGAGGCTTTTTTTTACTTTTAAAAGCATTTTTTCTACAACCTCTTCGGCCGAAAAAATGCTTTTAAAAGTTAAAAAAAAAGCCTCTGATGATCATGCGGCTCAGCTGGGATCATCAAAGGATCTTAAAAGAAAAAAAAACCTTTTTTTCTTTTAAATGCCTCTGATGATCCAAGCTGTGTTGCCTGATCGTCAGAGGCATTTAAAAGAAAAAAAAAGTCTCTGCCAATCAGGCAACTCAGCTTGGATCATCAGAGCCTTTTGAAAGCATTTTTTAACAACCTCTTCGCCGAAGAGGTTGTAGAAAAAATGGTTTTAAAAATAAAAAAAAAAAATGCCCACGCAGTCACATTACCGTGCCCCACCAAGCCACGTCCACAGAACCGGTAATAACAAATTTTAGATTTCACCACTGGTATTTAAGGTTGCAGACCCCTGATCTAGCAGAAGAGGCACGTTGCAAATCCCGTCAGCCAAAGAGCATCAGCTGGCAGGGACCGGAAGATGGACTTTTCCTGCGATGCCCTCTGCCAATGGAACATCCTCCCTTTGGAGATCAAAATGGCCTCAATCCTCTTAAGTCATTTCTAAGACTTTAAAACCTGACTCTGTGGGCTCGGTTATGTTTCTGAGGATTACCTGTGTGCCCAATTCTCCTGCCTTTGTTTTAAATTAAATGCTGCATCTCTCGTTCGTTTTAAAGGGTTAGTCCTGGAATAAGGTCCTGTTGATTCTTTTTGATAAGATAGGCCTTGATTAATACAAGGTACGCTCTCCTGGGGTAGCGTTTTTAGAGAAAAGCAAAGTTGGAATGAAACAGAGAGGACTAACAAAGACTCTCTTGGCCTCCAGGCAAGGGGACATGCAGATTTGTGAAGGGGTCCACATTTCTGAGAGCCAGTTTGGTGTCCTGCTGAAGGCAGCAGGCTAAAAACAGGAACCTTGAGTTCTAATGCCGTCTTGGGTACAAACAAAGCCAGCTGGGTGGACTTGGGCCAGCTACGTTCTCTCAGCCCTCGGAAACAGGGAATAGCAAATCACTTCTGAAAAATCTTGCCAAGAAAATTACAGGGCCTTATCGAGAATTGGACACAACAGAAGAAAAAGAGAGAGAGGGAGCGAGAAGATGGTTGGTAGGTAAGTAGGTAGGTAGGTAGGTAGGTAGATAAGATAGATAGATAGATAGATAGATAGATAGATAGATAGATAGATAGATGATAGATAGACTGTGTTTTCCCAAAAATAAAACCCTGTCTTATATTTTTTTGAACCCTGAAATAAGCGCTTGGCCTTATTGCCATGTGCTCAAAAACCCGATTGGGCTTATTATCAGGGGATGTCTTATTTTGGGGGAAAACAGGGTAGATAGATAAATAGACAGATAGATAGATAGATATGGACGGATGGATGGAGATGATGGATAGATAGTTATATAGATAAGATGGACAGAGATGGCTAGATGGCTAGATGGCTAGATGATAGATAGATAGATAGATAGATAGATAGATAGATAGATAGATAGATAGATAGATAGATAGATAGACAGACAGACAGACAGACAGATAGAGATAGATAGGGATGGATAGACAGATATGATACAGAAAGAAAGAAAGAAAGAAAAAAGGAAAAAAGAAAAAGAAGAAAGAAAAAGAAAGAAAGAAAGAAAGAAAGAAAGAAAGAAAGAAAGAAAGAAAAAGAAAGAAAGAAAGAAAGAAAGAAAGAAAGAAAGAAAGAAAGAAAGAATTGGGCCAAATTGTTTAATTTGGTTTTATTTTGCTTTTAAATTTTGTATTTATGTGTTTTATCTTGTGGCTGTTCACCGCCCTGAGTCCTTCGGGAGTAGGGCGGTATAGAAATCAAATAAAATCTAAACCTAAACCGAAAGAAAGAAAGAAAGAAAGAAAGAAAGAAAGAAAGAAAGAAAGAAAGAAAGAAAGAAAGAAAGATAGATAGATAGATAGATAGATAGATAGATAGATAGATAGATTACTGCAACAAATTGGTAGATTAAATGCTTGAGAAGACTTAAAACCTTTTCCGATGGTTTTAGTTTCCTTTGGGCTGGTCTCACTTTTCTGCTGAACCTGCAAAGAGACAAAAGAAAAAAAGAAGAAGTATATTTTGCCCAAGAGGAAATGGTTATTCGATGCTCTTCGACTCGTCCCTCACAACAGCCACGCACCAAAGGCCCCTCCTGTTGTTTTTCTTTCTGCAGAACTTAACCAAGTTCCTGATCCACCAAAGTCTGGTTCATACAATACAGTGAACAACAAAGCTAACGGAATGATCCAGGTTTATACAATTTTCTATTCCCCAAGGAAGATTGGCCAAGTTTCTGCCATACGTAAATACAGTCCAGCTATTCAGTCTTGATCTGACCTTTTATCTTTTATGTTTATTGATTTAATTAGATGCCTAATGGCCATAAATGCCATTCATGGACAACCTGGCCTCCAAACAATCATTTTCTAAGGTCTTCCTGCCAGGCATATATATCAAGTACAGGTAGTCCTTGAGTTACGACCACAAATGAGCCCAAAATTTCTCTGGCTAAATGAGACATAAAGAACGGTTGCAAGAATTGGGTACCATATTTTTCGGAGTATAAGACGCACCGGACTATAAGATGCACCTACCTTTTTTGGTGAGGAAAAGAAGAAAAAGAAATCTCCCTTTGCATCTGAGCAATTTTGCCTCCTTGCAGCAAACAGCAAACAGCCTGCTTTACTTTCGTTTTCGTTTTCAGCATAGTTTGATTAGCACAAGGGGAAAAAAAATCTGCTCCAGCAATTTACTTCCTTGCAGCAAGCAGCAGAGCCCCCCCGCAAAACAGCTGACAGTCGGGAGGCCAATCCCATCAACTTGTGCTAATTAGGCTGTGCTGAAGCGGAAAGGAGCTGTTTCTTCTTGCTGCTTGCTGCAAGGAGGTAACTGCTGGGAGGCAGAGGCCAAAGGGTGGGGGCCAGTGGGTGGGGGGGGGGCTACATTCAGTGCAAAAAACACACCTAAATTTTCACCTCCTTTTAGGGGGCAAAAAGGTGTGTCTTATACTCCGAAAAAATATGGTATGTCTAGTTTAATGAAAAGAAAGACTATGGATGACTTGATAGCACTGTCCCAATATTTGAGGGGCTGCCACAAAGAAAAGGGGAGGGGGTCAACCTATTGTCCAAAGGACCAGAAGAAACAATGGATAGAAACTAATCTAGGAGAGAAGCCACCTAGAACTAAGGAGAAATTTCCTGACACTGAGAACAATTCACCAGTGGAACAGCTTGCCACCAGAAGTTGTGGGTGCTCCATCACTGGAGGTTTTCAAAAAAAGTTTGGATAACCATTTGTCTGAAATGATATAAGGTTTCCTGCTTGAGCAGGAGGTTGGACTAGAGAAGAAACTTTACAGAAGAACAGAGTTGGCTGTTCTTCTGTTATACACCAAGTTTCTTCATCAGACTGAACTACTGACCCAAAGCTCAGGTCTCGAATTCACCTTATTAAGAAGAGTCACCTTTTCTTCCCTGTGGGATAAATGTCTCAAAAACTTACCGATTCTGCCTTGGAGAACCATTTACGGGGGTTCAGGAGGTATCTCAAGCTTCTTTGGAGCCACTCGGAAGTCACCTGCCACACCGTGAATGTTTTCAGGATCTTCCAGATAATAAAGAAGACTAAGATCAAGGGGGAATTTTTGCTGAGAAGTAGGATATATCGCTGAAGAGCCAAAAACCCAAGACATGGAGCTGCCATTGGGAGAAAACCCAAAATAGCTCAGATCCTGGGGCTGGTTTCAAACATGAACAGGATCTTTAATATGATGTGTTCTGAGCGCATCATAAAGGTTTCCACGCAGCACTATACCAATCCCATCTCACCAGAGTCTGTCATGACCCTCTTCCTGGAAATTGTCAGTCTTTTCTATAATTTGCACATAGAACATCGCATTAATGTAAATGAAGCGGGCTCTGATAGATGACCACTGGATAACTTTCTATTCACTCTATTCTAAAAAGCAATGCATCCGGTTGGAAAAAGTACAAACTCAGCCAAAATCCTTTTGGTACCTCTAGGAGGCCTCTAAGTTGTCAGAAGAAAGGAACATTCTAATGTCATACAGCTTAAAGGTTGGTTAGGTCAAGGGGATCCACATGAGTTAAAAGTTGTCTGTCATCAGAAGATGATTTGAGTCTATGCTTCAGTAATCTACAAAAAGAATTATAACTGTTGGCAAAGAATAAAATGAAACAGTAATTAGGAAATGTCAATTAAAAATGACAAATGTATATGACCATATGAATTGCTGAGTTAACAGAATCCTTTGTCTAGAAGGGTATAAAACCATTGTACCTAATTTCTGTCTTTTGTTCAACGCTTCATGTACAGAGCTTTGAACCTATTGCGCAATATACAAATTGTCTCTGATTAACCCAAAAGTTGTGTTGGTCTTATTAAATCCACAACAGCATCAGCCACGATGCTCCTCGCACATACGTGTCTTCAGGTTTATCATCTGGAGTGCATCATCTTAGAATATCAGTCAATCAGAATAGCGCCGGAAGGGACCTTGGAGGTCTTCTAGTCCAGCCCCCTTCTCAAGCAGGAGACCCTATGCCATTTCAGACAGGTGGTTGTCGTTTCTTCTTGAAAGCCTCCAGTGATGAAGCACCCACAACTTCTGGTGGCAAGCCGTTCCACGGGTTAATTGTTCTCACTATCTGGAAATTTCTTCCTAGTTCTAGGCTGGTTCTCACCTTAATTATTTATTTTATTTTTTTTATTTGTATACCGCCCTTCTCCAGCAGGACCTCGATTAGTTGCCATCCGTTGCGTCTTCTCCTGCCTTCTAGTTCTTTGGAGAATAGGTTGACCTCTTTGCAGTAACCCCTGAAATATTGGAACACTGCTATCATGTCGTAGGATTCACGACCTTCGTACCTTTCGTCGCGCCCTAAAAACATTATTATTCCAACAAGCAGGGCTGGCCTAAATAATAATAATATTTTACTATTTTAATAGGTTGTTTTACTAGAGTTTTTTGGCCAATTTATTTAATTGTTTTAAATTGCTTTTAAGTTTTATTATATTGTCATGGTTTTATTTTTGGCTGTACACCGCCCTGAGTCCTTCGGGAGAAGGGTGGTATAGAAATTCAATAAAATAAATAAAATAAAAATGTCGCCCAAAGTTGTCCTTTTTTAAAAACTAGACATACCCAATTCCTGCAACCATTTTTGTCTCCAGGCCTTTAATCATCTTAGTTGCTCTTCTTTGCACTTTTTCCAAAGTCTCAACATCTTTTTTTGTAACTGTGGCCTTTTGGGCCACAGTTGTGAATCCACAGTATCCGCCTTCCCTATTGACTTTTGCTTGTCAGATCGCAAAACGGGATCTCGTGACCCCAGGACACTGCGACGGTCATAAATACGAGTCAATTGCCAAATGTCCGAATTTTGATCACATGACCATGGGGAATGCCACAACGCTCATAAAAACGCTCAGAAGTCTCTTTTTTCAGCGATGTTATAACTTCATATGGTCACTAAATGAACTGTTTTAAGTCGACGAATACCCATATAGCTTATACGTAAGCTTTTAAAATATCAATTCTTTTGCAAATTGAAGCAAAACAAATACAGATTCTGTCTCTTTATTTTAGAATAGAATAATAGAGTTGGAAGGGACCTTGGAGGTCTTCTAGTCCAACCCCCTGCTTAGGCAGGAAACCCTGTATCGTTCCAGACAAATGGTAGCCCAATCTCATCTTAAAAACTTCCAGTGTTGGAGCATTTACAACTTTTTGAGGCAAGTTGTTCCACTGGTTGTTGCTTCTTGTCCTGCCCTCAGGGGTTTGGAGAACAGCTTGACTCCCTCTTCTTTGGGGCAACCCCTGAGATATTGGAAGACTGCTATCATGTCTCCCCTAGTCCTTCTTTTCATCAAACTAGACATACCCAGTTCCTGCAACCGTTCTTCGTATATTTTAGCCTCCAGTCCCCTAATCATCTTTGTCATTATTCTATTCTATTCTATTCTATTCTATTCTATTCTCTATTCTATTCTATTCTTTTCTATTCCTTTCATATTCTATTCTATTCTTATTCTATTCTTTTCTTTTCTATTCCTCATTCATATTCTATTCTATTATTCTGTTCTTTTCTATTCTATTCCTCATTCATATTCTATTCTATTCTTATTCCTATTCTTTTCTATTCTATTCCTCATTCATATTCTATTCTATTCTTATTCTATTCCTTTCTATTCTATTCCTCATTCATATTCTATTCTATTCTTATTCTTTTCTATTCTATTCCTCATTCATATTCTATTCTTTTCTATTCTATTCCTCATTCTATTCTATTCTATTCTCTATTCTTTTCTATTCTATTCCTCATTGATATTCTATTCTATTCTATTCTTATTCTGTTCTTTTCTATTCTATTCCTCATTGATATTCTATTCTATCTATTCTCTATTCTATTCTTTTCTATTCTATTCTCATTCATATTCTATTCTATTCTTATTCTATTCTTTTCTATTCTATTCTATTCCTCATTCATATTCTATTCTATTCTCTATTCTATTCTTTTCTATTCCTCATTCATATTCTATTCTCTATTCTATTCTTTCTATTCTATTCCTCATTGATATTCTATTCTATTCTATTCTTATTTTGTTCTTTTCTATTATATTCCTCATTCATATTCTATTCTATTCTATTCTTATTCTATTCTATTCTTATTCTATTCTACTCTACTCTTTCTCCAGCACAAAATGTCTATAGAAACACCTATATTTCTTCTACAAAGCACCAGATGGCAGGACAAGAAACAATGGATGGAAACTAACCAGCTGTTCTCATTCTAATTTTAATTCCTATTCCTATTATTCCTATTCCTGTTATATTATTTTTGCACTTTTCTGACATCCTGGAAAAAGAAAGGCCTTTCCCATCATTCCGCAGTTGCAAAGAGAGCTGCATCCTGTTACAGAAAATACAATTGCAACAGCCTTTTAGACTTCAAAAAAAAAAATGAAAAATATTGATGAAAGCGATCACCGCACCACAAGCAAACCCCGAGCAGATTTATAAAAAAGCTTGAAATCAGGCTGGACCATGGGGGGAAAACTCGAGTCACGTTAAACCACGTTTCACGGTTAAGGAGGAACCAAACCTGGCTTCATTTTTTTATAAGCCATTCTTCTAAAGTCACGTGACGGAGACGGTCCCAGGGGAGCGAGTCCCGCCCACAGCAGCTCTGGCCAATAGGAAAAAAAAAAAGGGCGGCCCTCCCTCTTTGCGCAGACGCGCGTCTTTCCCGCCCTCTCTGCGTTGTGGCGCATGCGCGGACCTTCTTTCGCGCTGAGGAAAGCTGGAGGGCGCCATTTTGGTTGCCGCGCGGCGGCGTCGGTGGCGATCGGTGAGTGGGGGAAGCTGCGGGCTGGGGATGATGGGAGTGGGTGTCCGAGGCCAAGGGTAACCGGTGGTGGGGCAAAGAGAGTCCGGGGCCGCGTTCACACGTTTCTGGGCCAGCCCGGGTGGGTCCCTCAGCGGCTCTGAGGGGAATCCGTGGTTCGGCGCGCCGCCGTGAGGCGCGTTTTTATTCATCTATTAATTTTTATCACGCCCTTTATGAGATTTTTATCCTGCCTTTTATATATTTGGGGTAACTCGAGGTAGAAAATTCGCCTAATCTTAATTTCCCCACAACAACAACCCTGCGAGGTGGGCCGGCCTGGCCTGAGAGAAATCCCCCCCCCCAAAAAAGTGGCTCCCCGATGAAGACCATTTATATAATATAGTGCAAAAATTGGGGATACGATTCAAACAAACCAAAACATCTGCAATATGATAATCAGGGACTAAATAATTCTTGAGTTATTTCACCACAATAATTGGCTCATAGGAGTGAATTGTTTCATTGCGATCCAGATCATATGCCCAGAGGGGCAGTCTAAGTCATATTATTTCACTGTAGCAATATGAGTGAATTGTTTCACTGCCATCTAAATAACATGCACAAAAGGTAACTAATTAATATTATTTCACAGGCATAATGCACCAGTATTGATAATCCTCATTTTATGACCACAATTGAGCCTAACATTTCTGTTGCTAACTCCCAAAAGTGCTTTTTCCCCAAGAGGCAACTGGATTTTCTGGCTTTTTTGTTTTTTTCTTTTGAAGACAAAGCAAGATGGCTGTTAAGTGGGTTTTGCCCCACTTTTACGACCTTTCTTGCCACGGTTGTTAAGTGGGGAAATTAAGTGAATCACTGCCATTGTTAAACTAATCACGTGGTTGTTAAGGGAATCCGGCTTCCCCATTGACTTTGCTTGTCGGAAGGTCGCAAAAGGGAAATCACGTGACCCCAGGACACATGTCATAAGTATATGCCAGTTGCCAAGCTTCTGAATTTTGGTCACGTGACCGCGGGGATGCTGCAATGGTTGTAAAAGTGTGGAAATGGTCATAAGTCATTTTTTTCCAGTGTTATAATTGTGAATTGTCACTAAATGAATGGTTGTAAGTCAAGGACGATCTGTATTTCCAATAAAATTGGAAGACTTTCTAACTAATAATAATAATAATAACAACAACAACAAAGTTATTGTCATTGTAACAGTATACCCATACAACGAAATTCACTTAACACCCAAAGACCAGGTCCAACACACATAACAATCCCCAAACACACTCCCACCCACCACAGATTCCCCACCCCTAAACCACCCAAACATCCACACAACAGACCAACAAAGCTGCCCCCACAGAAGATCTCACAGAGACACAAAGGTAAACACAAAAGTGACACTTGTGGCATCCACTAAGGCTCTTTTGGCCCCTCCCCCATCACATGACAACCATCGCTGGGGGGGGGTCTATTTGGGTGGTATATAAATACACACCAGTTGCCAAGAGTCTGAATTTTGAACACGTGACCATGGGTGAGGCTGCATTGTGAAAAATGGTCATTCCCCCCCCCCCCCATCCTCTCTTTCAAAGGAAATGAGAGGCAGCAGGAGTGGGGGCTGCATGACTAATTGATCACTGATTTTAATCAGCATCAACTGATTAAAATTGATGGCTTAAATGAAGGAACATTTTCTTCTTTATTTGCATAGTGCTGATTGTTGAACATGAGATATTCATGAGGAATGCTTAACGGTAAACCAGCACACAGTTCTTTGCTCTGAGGCTAAATAAAACTTATTTATTCTTATTGCAATTATATTCTGCCCCATCTCACTCTGCAAAGTGACTTTGGGTGGCTTAAAATTAAAATTCACTTGTTGCCCATAAGCAACATTATATAGAATAACAGAGTTGGAAGGGACCGTAGGAGGTCGTCTAGTCCAACCCCCTGATCGAGTAGGAGACCCTATACCATTTTTCAACAAAGGACTGTCCAGTCTCTCCTTGAAAGCCTCCCATGATGGGGCACCCACAACTTCTGAAAGCAAGTTGTGCATTTAATAGCATATGGGTGACTGAAGCCTTCCCTGGCTTATGCATTGTGAATGAGGGCAGGGATAAGGATGCTTAATGGGATGAAGGCACCTTAGATTGAGTTAAAACATTGGTCTGGCTTGACTTTGCTAAACTGTATTTTCTGTAATTATTTTTTCAGTGCATGGTTATCTCCTTCCCTTTTTTCTTTTATTTATTGAGCTTGTATGCCACCCATCTAGCCTACAGCTGATTCTAAGCATCTTACAATGAAAAAAAACACAAAATAAAACATTTAAGCATAAAAACCATAAATACTAGCACTAGAATGAAGTTAAAAGTGCAAGATTGGAAGGAAGGGAAGAAAAGGCATATGGGGAGAAAGTGGGATCTTAGAACATTAACCATCCACAGAGTGGGATGTCCCCATCCCCAGGCTAGTTGGCAGAGCCAGATCTTCAGGCCCTTTCAGGAATGTTCAAATCTTAGGTGGCAGGGGTGGGGTGGAGAATGATGTTTCAGACGGCAGAAGCCACCACAGAAAAGGCTCTTCTAGACCCCACCAGCTGGAATGCCTTGAGCGACAGTGTCTGCCGCATACTCCTTCTGCTGGCACAATGGACCCATGCCTGAAGGGGTTTTTTTATCATCCTTGAAGATGGAACAAGGGACCAAATAAACCTTGATCTGTTCAGCAGAGTAAATTCCCAGATTTCTAGGACTTTCACCTGTAATTCTACAGCATGATTAGACCCTGAAATGCTGTTTCTGTCCTTGTTCCTTACAGCACTGCAAACCATGGAGAATTACCAGAAGTCCAAGGTAGTGGAGAAGCCTTCTCCTCTCCCTTTCACCAACTTGCCCTCAGACATCATTGAAATGAAAGTGAAGGATGGAAGCAAGATCCGGAATCTGATGGGCTATGCCATTGGCAAGATGGAGCAAGAGACGATGAGACAGATGCTCTTCAGCGGGGTTGGCAAAGCCATCAACAAGACCATCACCTGCGTGGAGATCATGAAGCGGAGGCTGAAGGATCTCCATCAGATTACAAAAGTGTTCTTTCAGCAAATAGAGGAGATCTGGGAACCAATTGTGCCGGAGGCTGGCCTGGATCCCTTGACTGTGAAGCGAAATATCCCTGCCATTTGTGTTTTGTTGAGCAAAGAACCCCTAGATCATCAGGAGCCAGGCTATCAGGCTCCCGGATCTTTCGATGCCTTCTGGTTGGAAACGCTGAACTCAGAGTCCCAAAGTCAACCGAAAAGGAAGAAAGGTGGTGGAAGAGGGGCTGGCCATGCAGGAAAGTATCCTTCCTCTGTCTTTTGAGAAGAATCCAAAAGATAATCCTCAGTCAAGCTGAGTGAATTACTTACCTACTGAGCCAAAGAAAGCTGGTCGCTTTTCGTATTGAGAGAGGAAAATTGGAAATCTTGGTGGAGAGGCTGATTTAAAGGAAGTGGAAGAGACTGAGGTTTCAGAACTGCCTGGATCAGGTTGATCATCAGCATCTGGCAGCGTGGTTCTTTTCTTGTCAGAAGGAAAGAAATGCTGTGGTGGATTGTTTTGAGTTCTGGAAGCAATAATGATTAAAAAGAGAGCCTTCCTGGGTTGAGGGAGATGTGGATAATCTGCCTGTTTAACAAGAAGGTAGCTATGATGTTTGCCTATTTTCCTCAGTGGATGATGACTGTTGGATGTTACACGAATCTTAGGATCTACTTCTGTGAAAGGGCAGGAATCCTCTGCTTCCAAAATTTGATGGTGACAGGAGAAGGGTGCCCTGTTTTTCATATAATTCTCTGGTTTTAATATGGGGCTCTCCAAACTTGGCAACTTTAAGATTTGTGGACTTCAACTCCCAGAATTCTCCAGCTAGCGCATGCGCTGGGTGGGGAATCCTGAGAGTTGAAGTTTACAAGTGGCCAAATTTGGAGTCCCTCTGCTGTAATAAGAGATCATCATATTTGATCCAGCATAAAGATGAGATTTTGATTGATTGTCTCGTCTTGATTGCCTGAGATGCAGAAGGTGCAGCTTAGTATGTCTAAAGACGATTGGAAAAATGCTGAGATTATTTGATTGTTAAAGAAACAGATTGTACAACAATACTATTTTAGTATAATTTATTTATAGTTAATTTTTTTCAATATTTGAAAAGGCTGCTTTGGTCTATGAAAGGGTTGTTGCTAGCTCAGACAATTGATATTTATCTCCAGTAATTCTGTTTCCCTCCATAAGTGTTGCCTGAGTGTTGCCTGAGGAAGTGAAAGATGTTATGAAGAGCATTTTCCCTTTTTAGCTGATGGTTCTTCATTTACCTCTGACAGCATTGATGCTCCAGAGATCCGACATGGGGCAGGAATTTTATCTGTGACTGTTGACAATACTGATGGATTATTTGCATTCAATCAAACCATTAAAAAACCCCACATTCTTAGTACTTTGGGGGCTTGCGTCTCGTTATTAACATAAAAAACCCCAGGAGCCTAAAGCCTTAGCTGTGCAGCATTCTGTTCTCAGTACCCAACCACAATTTTCTGAATTGAAACAAGGAGATTTGGTCTTTCCTTGGCCACCACTCAAAAATAATTTGTGGGATGTATGTTCCAAGTTTAGCCTACAGCCCTGGAATATTCGGGTGGCCTTCCAGTCACTTTCCAAACCATTTGCTGCTTAACTTAGCTCAGTCACAGCAGTTAACAGATTGAGCTATGAAAGCTGAGGTTGTAACGTCATCTCTGCTCATGAAGTGATTTTTATCTCTCAGTTGTGAAATAAAATTTCACCACTGAAACAAATTTCAGATAAGAGGTGGGGATTTGAAAGAAAAAAGACAGTTTGCCTGGTTCCTGGGCACTTTGAGGGGCACAAAATGATGTTAAATCCAATAAGCAAGCTTAGGATGGTGGTGGAACCGCAGAATTGAGCTAGTTAAGCATGTTGTAAGATTCTGTCAATGTGAATGTTCTTGGGTGCTCTTCTGGTTGATCCTGCCCAAACAGTAAATGCTTCAGGTGTTAGAATCCAGAGTATAGGATAGGTAGTCTCTGCAAAAGAAAAACAATCTTGCTCTTCTTTTTCTAGATTTCCTTAATAATGATCTGTGGCCCATGATGTTGGATTTTCAAAAGTACCGTGCCAAGGATTTAGCAGTCGTAGGTTGACTAAGTGTAGCTAAAAACTACTGAGGGAACAGAAAGAATTGAGAAATAAGAACTACAGGTATCCCTAGACTTATGACCATATTTGAGCCAAAAGTTCCTGTTGCTAAGCAAAACAGTTGATAAGTTTTGCCTCATTTTTTAACCTTTCTTACCACAGTTGCAAAAGAATTTGGAAAACTTGTGACTGTGTGATGGTGCTCCCCCAGAGGGCACCCTTTAGCCTGGAACTTGATAACTCTGCCCGGGTGGCCTTGCCAAGGGACAACCCTGATTGATAGCTTTAATAAAGCCGCCTTTTAACTACCAAGCCCTGGGAAAACCAGAAGGAGCTAAGGAGAGTAGTTTGTTGCAGAGTCCAAAGTCTCTGAAGGAAACTGCTTGGCATGAATCCAGTCAGGAGTGCCACATCTCCTTATGCCAACCAGAACCCAGGGCAAGGGAATTGAGCAGGTGAAGCCACCCTGATCTAGGGCCAAAAGGCAGCGCTGGAAATGTATCTGTAGAAAGAATCTTGGTGTCTGAGTTCACACAAAGTTCACACAATTCATTGAATTAACCAACAATGTGCATACTGTACAAACACAGCCCCTGGATTGAGTGCTGAGTAGGATTTTAGAGACTCACTGTTTTATTTGTGGAAATGGAAAATGATAAAATACGAGCACAAGAGGAAGATTCTAGTGAGCACAGATGCGACCAAACTTTGTGCCAATTTAGAGCCCTAGTAAGGGACTCTTATATGGCTTTTTTCCTGCCGAGAATGTCTTAGGAAAACGTAGATTAAACCCTCCATCAGCTCCTCCCAACCTGGTGCCTCATTTTAACTCAGTTGATCTGGCCATTTGGCCTTGCTGGGTGGGTGCTAGTGAGAAGATAAGGCTGTAACTTAAGAAATCGCAGCTCCATTGTCAGTCCCCTGATATATCAAGAGACTGGTCAGCCCTTTGTCTGAAATGGAGTAGGGTCTCCTGCTTGAGCAAGGGGTTGGCCTCACTATTCCTCCAAGGTCTCTTCCAACTCTGTTGCTATTTTGTTAAATTTGCTGTGCTTTATCCATCCATCACAATAACTATGTTCTTTTTTTTTTTATTGAAAAAGTTTTTCAAATACAAATTTTTCCCCCTTTCCCCCCTCCTCCCTAACCCCCCCTCCCCTCCCCCTGTGACTTCTTCATAATAAAACCCAAATTCATAACATTATACAATACTTTTCCATCCCCTTACTCCATCCCCATATGCTGACCCTTTCTTTCTAATAAGATTATCATATCCCCCTTATACTATACATTTCAAAATGACATTCTACTATAACATTATATAATAACTCCTAATTTAGCATAATAATATTATATCTCCCAGTTTAGCGATTTCTGCTCATATTCTACCCTTTTCTTCCCCCCATACATATATCTCTTAAGTCAAATCTTTTATATATATTAATATAACATTTCAAAGCAACCTTCCGCTATAAAACTATATAATAAATCCTAATTTAACATTTATTCAATTCATAATCTACCCATTTCCTTCACCCCCATCGTTATATCTCTTAACTCAAATCTTTTACATATATTCATATCTAAACATAATATCCCTTTTCTTAAACTAAACAATCAATAAACTAACCTGTCTCCACCCACTTTCCTACAAGACTACCATACTTAATAATTCGTAATATCTTTATTCTTCTGCCCACACCACTAAAAAATATTCCCTTATATAAATAAAATCCTCTTAAACTATGTTCTTGTCTGGTCGTTGTCCATAATCATTGTTCTTAGTGCCCCAGTGCCTCCCTGCATCTAACATTTCCTTTCCACTGAAATTATGAATGGCCTGGTGGATTCTCTGATGTCTTTTTTTAAATCCAGTTCATTGCTTGCTCTGTCGCTTGCTGAACTCTATGCTTTCTTGAATCTGTTATGTTTGGATTTACAGCAGTCAAATTGCAGAACTGGGAACAATTTATTTCTGCTTCTACAATCATAGTTTGAGACCTGGGCTTGAATGCAGGCTGAAAGCGCAGAAGAGAACAGAGCAAGGCAATTTACTGCAGCCACATGCACGGATAAAAAAGCATCCCACACTTGGGTGAACTCATGAAGAATTGTAATAAATCTCAAGAAGAGATTAGAAAATGATTAGCATTTGATACATTTCCACATAGCAAGCTCATAAAAAGGTTGTACAGACCAGGGCTTAGCCAGAGGGTGTTTCAACGGACATGTTGGCTCGGGGAAATCCCAGTGTGATTGTTAACGGGGCATTGTCTGACCACAGACCAGTCACAAGTGATGTACCACAAAGCTCAGTCCTAGGTCCTGTTTCTGTGCAGTGTGAGGGATATAACAAAAATATTGCTATGTAAGATTTATTTTTACTTTTTGCTGAGAACAAAAAGTGTGTAGTAGAGCTGATGTTTCTGGAGTATCAGAACATGGAAAAGAATTGCTGAAAAATGGTCAGAAATACTGAAACTGCAGTTCAGTGTTTCTAAATGTAGGATCGCTCACGAGTGGTGGGGGAGAATCCTTTGACAGGGTAAGTATTTGGAGCACAGTGTTAGAACCATTGAAGAAAAGGATTTAGGGGTGATCATAGCAGATGACTGCAAAATCAGCAGCATGGCCAGGCAGCAGTGAGGGCAGCCAAAAATCTGAGATGTAGCACTAAAAGAATCAGGCGGGGGGGGGGAGGAGGTTCTCATCCCGCTGTCAGCGTTCCAAATTAGGCTTTCTTCTGACACCTGACACGCGCTCTATAGGGCTTTAGTCACACTCCATTTGGAATGCTGTGTCAGGTTCTGGAGAGCTCACTTAAAAAGAGATCCTGATAAAACTTGTGTGAGTCCAGAGATGGGCAACAAAAATGATGCAAGTCTTAGGGAAAAAACATACCAGGAGATTGGAGGAAATAACAGAGTTGGAAGGGACCTTGTAGGCCATCTAGTCCAACCCCCACCACCACCATCACTGCCCAAGCAGGAGACCCTACACCATTTCTGACAGATGGCAGTCCAGTCTTTTCTTGAAAGCCTCCAGTGATGAAGCTCCCACAACTTCCGTAGACAACTTCTCTTCCATGGGTTGATTGTCCTCACTGTCAGGAAATTTCTCCTTATTTCCAGGTTGCTTCCCTCCTTGATCAATTTCCATCCATTATTCCTTGTCTGGCCGTCGGATGCTTTGGAAAATAGCTTGACTCCCTCCTCTTTGTGGCAACCCTGAGATATTGGAAGATGCTATCCTGTTTCCCCTGGTCCTTCTCTTCATTAGACTAGCCAGGCCCAGTTCCTGCAACCGTTCATCGTATCTTTTAGCCTTCAGTCTCCTAATCATCCCGGTTGCTCTTCTCTGCACTTTTTCTAGTCTCAACATCTTTTTTACATTGTGGTGACCAAAACTGGATGCAGGATTCTAGGTGTGGTCTTACTAGGGCTTCATGAATCTGTACGGCCTGGAGGAGAGAAGAGAAAAGGGGGACATGACTGAAACCTGAAACCTCCAGCACACAGGCCATTGGCAGAGTGCATAAGAATAAATCTCATTCATTGGGAATTTTCACACCTTGGGTCTGAATTCAGTCTCTCTAAAAAGTAAGGTCGTTACATCCAAGTTTATTATTACAGAAGACCTTTAGGACCTTTGGCAGAGACTTCCCTGAGACCTTTGAGAACTGAATGGCGGAATTTAATATAGCTTACAACCACAATTGAGCCCAAAATCTATGTTGCTAAGTGAGACATTTGTTAAGTGAGCTTTGCCCCATTTTACAACCTTTCATGCCACAGTTTTTAAGTGAATCATTTGCAGTTGTTACATTAGTCACACAGTTAAGTGAATCCAGCTTCCCCATTGACTTTGCTTGTCAGAAGGTCACAAAAGGGGATCACATGATTCCAGGACACTGCAACCATCATAACTATATGCCAGTTTTACCAATTGAATTTTGATCAGGTGACCATGGGGATGATGCAGCAGCCATAAATACAGAGCCTGGTGGCCCAGCAGACTAATAGCCTGTTATTAACATCCAGCTGCCTGCAATTACTGCAAGTTCGAATCTCCCCAGGCTCAAGGTTGACTCAGCCTTCCATCCTTTCTAAGGTAGGTAAATTGAGGACCCAGTTTATGGGGGCAATAAGCTGACTTTGTATAAATATACAAAAGGATGAAGGCTATTGCTTAACGCATTGTAAGCCGCCCTGAGTCTCTGGAGAAGGGCAGCATATAAATCAAATTTAAAAAATAAAAATAAAAATGTGAAAAATGGTCATA